TGGCGGGACTCAACACGTATTGTCCAGGGCCATGAAGTTCCACTTGATCACGATCCAGAGACCCTCAGGATCCTCACTTACCTCACCAGATAATATGTCGATTGGAAATTCATGCGCCAAAACCATTCTCACTCCCGTCCAACGCCCCAGGGGTTGAAAATCTATCGCAAATTTCAATCGCCCTGGTTTCTTCATCTACAGCCCATTGTTCTTCCATTTTTTTTTTCACTCCTATCGCCCGCATGATTCATCAAGTGACTCTACTCCCCAAAAATAATAACGAATGAAAAAAAAAAGAGACATATTTTTTGTTGAGCACCTTTCTAAAATTCAAAATGATTGATAACTTAATTTCATTGTATTATAATTAATTTTCAGTGTTGAAGCGCTAAATCTGGATAAACGTGTGCAATTCGCACGTTGGGGACCTAGTACTGGTATATATTCTGGTATCGGATGAAGGCGACGGGGGGTGTAGGTGTCCACTGCCAAGAGCACCCCAGCAATGCCAGAGGCAAAGCCAGAAGCAAAGAGGCGGTGTAGCATTCATTCGTCGTGGGAGTTGTGTCCACACACATCTTTTTTACTCGTCTTCCTTTATTGCTTGCTTTTACTCTCTCGCTCTGGTTTTTTTTCTCGTTTTTCCCCGAGGAGTAACTAACTGAACGAGTGTCAGGGATGGAGGGCGTTAAGGTAATGCCCCATTAGTATGTGACCCCCGTAGTAACACGGTAACACCACCACAGAAAATCTACTCGACGAGTGCTGCGGCCACTCGATAACCACACTCGACGGATTTCTCCTCTTCATTCTTTTGCCATGTTATTCTCTCCTATCCGAGGAGATCCTGATATCCTGAAATTGTGAAAGGCTGAAAGCCTGTCTGCACTCATTCTCATCATCTCATCGACAGATTCAATGATTATACCTTCATTGATTGGGGGATGAATGAATTTTTACAGTGGAAAACATAAAACACTTGTTCCAAGGGGAATGATACTGCCAGTCATACTGATAACCGATTACGAGACATTGACGTGAATTAATGGGCGGATACGGGGATGAAGTGAATGTATTAATTAAAAGTCAACCCCAGAGTCTTAACCTCTCGTCGGAGCTTAGCGTCTTACCGTGGGTGCTCTTCACCGGGGAATATCTTATAAATGTCACCAACGGGGAGAGAATTACCGCCTGGTGCACGATGATACAAGATCCTCTTTAAATTGAACAATTGGGCGGTTGGAATTATTCGTCGAGTTTAAAAATACCATAAAAAATAATTGATACGGGGGTTCGGGGGTGTTTTATGATCATGACTCGTATAAATGGAATGAAAATAGGCGGAAGAGTGAATAAACGGTGAGATTTTTCACTGGAGAGAAGTCAAAGTGTAAAAAAGTTAAATTTATAATCCGTAAAAACAATTATGTCGGAGGTTCGGCTCGACGAACAAAAACGGCCAATATCTCTCGTTTGATTTATACTATCCCCCAGTGGGTGAATATATGGGCTGTGTCGGGCAGTTCAACCCCTCGCTGGCACCCCCCCATATTAAATGGAATATTAAAGATTTAGGACACAAGACAATGCGTCGCGCATCCAAAAAAATATAAAAAATTAAAGGAATAGATTTTTTTAAACTCTATTGATATGAGTTGTCGATAGGAGGATGCATACTTTCTCGGTCCATTTCAATAACCCACCCCCATAAATCCCTACAACCCAGAGGGTTGAAAGATATGGATCTCCTCTCAAACGAACGGATTCAACTGAAATTTTCTCTCTTTCCTTTTACTTTTATTAAAAGTTCCCGAATGAATAGTAAAACGCCAGTTAAAGGTTTTCTCACAAAACTCCAAATATCTTTTTTTTTCTCAGAATGAAATGGACACGGTTGAACCATAAAATCAGCCTGTGGGCAGTTTAGTCCAGCCGGTACGATTTGACCGGATTCCATGTTAAACATATGCATTACATTTATTCTTCTGAGATATTGCAACACTCAATATCTCACCCTCTTCACCAATTCAATAACCAACAATTTCCTTTAATAAATTTGTATCTATTTTATTTTGAGTAATCGGCGAGTTGTAGAGGCCCTTAAGGGATTTTAAAACGGCCCTTGGGTGTCCCCCCGATTGTAATTCCCACCTCGGTATTATCCAATAAAGCCAAATCATCGTTCACCCTCGGAAATATTTTCCGTTAAAATAAAATAAAAAAAATACAAGGTGAAAATGGTGTTAACGCGGTGTATATCAGTGTGGCTTTGTGTACTGAGGACGTACGTGGGGCATTGTATTACCGGAGAATTTCAGGGGTGTGGGATTCTCTCTGGCAAGAAGTGAGAAACATCGTAGCACCCCCCGAAAAGCCCTTAACGAGGCTAATACACTTGTCACGCGTCACAAGCCTGAAATCCATGACGTGCTATTAACGTCGGCTATGAACCAATGGCCAACGCAACTGTTGAATGTCACTTTAAATACGTGTCACGTATCTCCCTCTATTAATCATTAAAACATGTACACCATAATTTTTATTTAAAAAATAGTAAACTATAAGAGGAGAAAAGTGATAGCAAATAAATGGGTGAAAATGGGTAGAAAAGTCCATTTGGATTTTCAGTGTAAGGCTGTCGGCGCTAATAATGGGTGGGCAGCTTGGTAAGCCAGTTGACCGTGACTAGATAAAAAATACTGCCTTCTGACCCTTCGTGTCTCTGTAACAAACTATCGGACGTCCTCCTCCACCCCTCTCTTACAGCCTTGTCATGCTAATCGCATAGGATCGCATCTTCTTTCATCCCCCTGACTTTTATTCGCGATCCACTACTGGCAACTAAAAACCAAAATAAAAAAAATAAAAAAAAAACCTCCACCAAGGGGGGTAACTACCGATGTGGGGAAGTGCCAAGTATAAAGGAGAACAAAACGACACGAGCACATAGACAACACTCACCCTCCGATAGTCTATCTGAGGAATAAAATAAAAAAAGAGAGAAAAATAAAAGTACTGCCGAGGAGAAATCGGATTTTATGGGACAGCATGGACTTTCTGGTGGGATAAAAGGTGAAACGTTGTGTCGTTCAACAGCCTGGTCATTGGAAATGTGGCACTTAGGTCTCCCCTGTGGATAATGTCCATCAGGAGAACATGTTCATTCGTTTGCATCTGTTATGTTGTGAGTAAATGCGTGGAGTTGTATTTTTTGGGGTGGTATCCTCGGAAAAATTTAAATATCCTGAGACAGGACTGAAGTACGACTGGTAGCAGTGGTTGAGATGGACGATGGCCAGCGCCTGGTGATATAATAAAATAAACTGTCAGCGGCAGCTCACATAAAAATGCTAAAGAGGTAGCCCATATTGGTCTTGGTGGTGCCCTCGGAGATATATGCGCTTTCGAAGGAGGATATGAGGGGTAATGGGTCTCGGTTGCAAGGAGTGATAAGGAATACAGCATTCTCCATCTCAGGATTTTCTCCAATTTGGCTTTGGGGGATAATTTTTATTCTTAAACTTGCCACTGAAATTCTTCCAGCTCTCTTCTCGCTCGTTAAATTAAGTCCAACAAATCGGTGAGCTTTGAATATAATCATTCGGGTGATTGTCGAGATTCTGAGGGGAAAAAAAATTATCCCAATGAGCAAATATTTAAGAACAAATGGCAGTTTTATCTTCTCACTTGCTCAACCCTCTAATCAAATTGCTCCGATCATAAAGGCGAGATTATTATTCTCCTCGTCATACCAGGCGATTCAATCGTTTCTCATTCATGCGTGCACCGGTGAAAGGGAGGGAAAAAAAATCCTTGGGGTGAAATATTCTCGGTGAAAGTGGATTTCACCAGGTTTCCCGAGGTATTACGACACAATTCTCTTAACTCCAATTCGTCCTCTATTTCATCTCTTATTTCATCACAGTTGAATTCCTCTGTCATCAAGTTGATTGACGAGTGATATCGTTAACGGTTTAGTCTGCGTGCGATCTACTGCAATGATCTTGTTACTGTTCTGCACCCCTCGCTCCTTCCCCAACTCCAAACATTCGACAAATCGCTCACTCCATTCGATTAATCAAATTCAATAGAATAATTATTTAAATAGATAATGACAAAATTCACAAAGAGGTCGACTGGTGGAAATTATTGCTTTGACATAAATATAAATTTATTTAGTAGCTAAGAGTTCGTTATTTGGAAAATGCCAGCGAAGGGTCAAACTGACCCCCTCCTCCCCCATTCGTCTTATCCCTCAGTCCACCGGATTTCTCTTTCAATTCTAAGGATTCTACTCCCTCTCTTCGATATTTTTTACGACTGTTCTCCCTGAGCCCACCCCAAAGGGCTATCACAGCTCTCCATATCGAAAAGACTGGATTTTTTTTCTCCACAAGTCATTAACAATTATTGTGATATTATTCCCCGGGGCTCATTCAAATGACAGCTGCATACGCAGTTGTACGTTGAAATAAAAATAGAGTGGAAAATCATTTCTTCTGAAACAACGATCGCATCTGTGTTTCCCATTATTGAATAATTTAATTTATTAATTGCAAAATAATTCTTTGGAAAATTGAGTAAATTTTTTGACGAGTGTAATAGTTGAGGGGAGAGAAAAATGCGAAAGGGGTGAGACTGGGAATAGATAAAGATAAGCCACGGTAGTTCCGTGACTTGACAATAAAGCTTGACTCAGCTCCACTGGAATTCGTATGGACCGCTCTTTTGCCCCCTTTTCCTCACCCAGAGACCGTCCAATTTTTTTTTTTTAGGTGTCATGCTGCGAGGAGTCAATGATTCAAGGTACAGACTAAATATATTCAAGTTTCTCTGTTGATGACAACATTTTCTCTTTTATTATCATAATAAGTATAATCATCTTATATACAGATTAACAGCAATGAAAACATTTTTCATTTTAAAATAATAAATTGTTACCATTTGATTGATTATGTTACAAAAAAATAACAGATATTATTAATCATAATTAACGTTATCCAAAAATATTTAAACCAGAATTAAACAAAAAAAGGAAAATAATATTAAAAATCATTTGAAAAAATGATAATTCTCTAGATTGCACATGTGAATTGCACAAAATGCTAAAAGATTTAAATTCATCTAAAGATGTATTTGCACGATTTGTCGCCAATGATAAATTCCTCGTTACCCTACCAATAAATAAAAACCATTGCCAGAAGAGTGAAGTAATAAAAGATTGGTAATCAGAAAAATGAGATGATCTGACGGGTGAAATGATTAAAATGTTGTGGAATCATCACTTCACTCACTGATTCACATAATTATGATTGAGTTTCACGTCCAACAAGCGCCGCTTCGGCGCTGTCTGTGTCACAGGTAGACCTCAGGACTAGCTGGTGCTGGTGCAGGGGGTTGTGGTTGTGGAGCCATCGGTGCGGCCTGATGGGAGCGCTGATTCGAGGCCTGATTATGCTGTGGCGATGGTTGCGCCGAGTGATGATTCTGATTGTGTTGCTGATTTTGCCTCGCCCTCATCATCTCGTACCGTTGCTTGTACATATCCCTCTCCTGCACCAATTGCGCATTATTCAATCGCAATTGTTGCAATTCAGCGCTCAATGTCCTGTTGGTTGTCTCCAGGTCGTGACGCTGCTGGAGTCTTTTGCTCCGACAATTCTGCGCGTAGCCGCGATTTTTCAGGGTCCGTCGCTTCTGCTTCAGTCGCACGATCTTCGAATTAAATAATTTACCATTACAATTCCACCCAGCACATGTCAATCAATATATTTTTTGAATAATTATATGGAACAATTGCATCGACTCTTTTCTCTAAAAGCGAATGAGAATGAAGAGAATGGAGGAGTTGTGTGAGAGGCCAGAGGTGGGATAAATGGGAGAAAAAATTCTCATGATATTTTTAAAAAAATGAGAGACCTTACTCACCTCCTCCCTGGGGCAGCCGTGGAGACGCTTATTGAGCTCTCGCACCGACAGGGACATCAACACCTCGTCGTCCATGAGCTCGTCCTGGGGATTGCTGCCATTGCAGTTGGAGTAGAGGCTGTTGCCAGTTCGATGAGCAGGATGATCGGGACTCGGTCCACTGCCACCCATTGAACCTACTGAGCAAACACTTATGGGTCTTGCAACCTGGAAACGAACTTGGGGATCGTCCATGCTGGAGGAGACACCATTGCTCGTTGGAAGCATTCCGTTATTGTGATCGCCATTGGGTCCATAACACTCGAGATGCCCCGACATCGATATATAACCACCTGGAGTTCATTTATAATTATCTCATTGAATTCCTCGGTGGAGCGAAAAAAAACATGTAAATTTTAATGAATAAATATAATAAACACACCGCCATGCCTGAGATGCCTCGGCAAATGCTGTATCTGCTCTTGAAACTGCGGATGACTAGACCATGCCTCATGCGGCGGCTCAGGTGTTTGCTCCTGAGGGCAATGTGGTCTCAAATCAAGTGGTTCCTGTCTCAATGACTGCGTCAACCATCCCATACCCCCAGTGCCAATTTGCATCTCATCCTGACCAATTAACGGCTGCTGCTGGTGCAATTGCAGCAGCAGTCCACCCTTATCCCGCAAATCGCGATCATTGCGATGATGCAGCTGAAGGGGTGGAGGTGATGCCGACACTGGTGGTGTATCAGGTGGTGTACCCGGGTGAGATAGAGTCGTCAAGTGGGTTGATATACCGGATGGGGCTTTAACCAGCACCCCGTGCTGCACCTGAATGTGCGGCTGGCCATACAGGGGATGGGGCTGCTCCAATTCATGAGCTGGTGGTGTCAGCGGTGCCAGTGCCATACCCTGATGCATTTGACTAACTATATTTCCATTTACCATCACTGCTGGCGATCCTATTCGCACCTATATCCCCGTGGGAAAACAATTCAATTAACTCTAAATTTGAAATTAATTCAAATAATCAAGTGCAAGCTACATCTTGAAAGTTCATTGAGAGTCTATGTTTACAAATAAAGATGAGAGAATGATGAAATGATGAGAGGATTTCACCGAAGAAAAGCACCGAGAGAAAATAATTCATGAGGAAAAAAAAAATGCAATCAAACGAGAAGATGAGAGGAAGGAGTCACTCAAGAATCCGGAAATCACCTCGCGTTTCACATCGGCCGGATCGAGATGATCAAGAACAAACTCCTGGACATACTCCCTCGCGAGATGATCCTCAGGTACTTCCATCTTGACCTCGTCCACGTCAACCTGGACCCCAGGGGATTCTACCGTGGCATTGGTATTAAACCGCAGTGGATCCTCTCCACTATTTTTATCACTATCACAAATGCCACCACCACCGCCAGCGTTACCGCCGGCTCCCAAACACCCTATCACTGTTCCTGGCGTTTTTAATAACAATTATTCAACAATTGTCGCCGCTATCGGATCCCACAACCACTCGAGTTTAATCCCAATTAGTTGGATAGCATCACAATTGCCTTAATATTAAAAAAATAAAAATAAATGACAACAAATTCACTGACAAAATGAAAATAAAAATTATCCACTAGAAATTACACAACCGATGAGATGCAGAGGATGAGCGATAAGATATTAAAACGCACGAGTGAATTCGTTGGAGATGATGCCGATTAGGTTTGCCGGTCACTGCCGGTGGTTTGGCACCTCAACTACTAAAATCCTCCAGGCGATGGTGCGCGGAAGGGGACAACACCGCTTCCAGAAGAGGAGGTGAAAGAGCAATGATAAAAATCTCGCGAGAGAGAGAGAGAGCGAGTGAGAGGGGGATGGAGACGTGGGACCAGTGACAAAATGAATTTTCTCCTTATTTTATTTTTTTTTTTGGGGGGGGGGTCTATTGTCGAAATGCGGTGGTGGGAGGGGAGTTAGTGATAGCTGGTGGAGGTGTACGACGAACCTGTGCGGCGCGCGCGTTTATTCCCACAGTAGATACACCAGACGAATGGCAACCTGGTCAGACACAAAACCGTAGTCACACCCGCGCAATCTCTTTTCACTGGGCCATGACGTCACCAAAGTAGGTGGAGCCAACCACTGGCCAGACCTTCACCCTCCCATTGGTTGATAACACTCCAACATCCCATTGGCTCCTCTCCCACGCATTCCTCACCTACCTCCAGGGAGAGGGAAAACTTCTCAATGCATCGATGCAATATCCAACATGGGAGTGAGCATCTTACCTTCGAGGAGGTGTCTATTAATTTCTAATGGGATTATTGTCATTTTTTAGGGATTTTTCAAAAGGCTCTTATATCCTATGGGAAATTCAGGCGCTCCAGGTCGCCGTTAAAATATGGGGAAGAATGATTTTATCTCGTTATCAGAATTCGAGGTGTCTTTTGAGGATATTCTATTTTTTAGGCGAGAAAATATATCGATGAAATGGAGGGAATTCAATGGTTTTGAAAATTGAAATGTTAAAAATTTGAAATGTGAGAAATTAACGCGGGCTACACGCGCTAATTCGCTATCACAATTTGCCTCGGATTAATTTCCGTCTAATGTAACGAAACACTTTGTGTTTAGAAGAGGAAAAAATGGCGATGCCTCTGGTTACTCACTGTTGAGTTGATACTCGTGACAATGTAATCCATCTAGTAATTTTAATCTCGATGCCCCGTACAATCGCCACAACACAATCGTTCATGCAAGATTGTATGTCGTATTTACAAATAAAAGTACACATGATACGATTTATGACCCTGACATGGAATAATATTGATTCCATTGACTGTAAATCACGAAGAACTCATAAACATCAATAAAATATTTAGCAAAGTATTGCAATGAAAATTTCCCTCTTGTAAAAATGAGAACTAATGAGAGAAGATTATTGATAAAAAAAAAAACGATTTTAATGTGAAATGAAGTTGGCGATGAGGGAAAAACTGAAATGCTCATTAATTCGAAAAGTTTCATACGAGTTTGAAATTGAAATCATGTAGCGAGGCGACTATGTACTCTTTTGAGGTGTCCTGGGGGTCTCTCTCCTCTAGTCGGTATAGGATGGCGACGAAGAGGGGCAAGTGAGGAAGGAGGAAAGAGGAAAGAGGAATTGTGCTGAGCCAGCATAGCTCGAGCCCCCTCACTCCCCCTCATACCGCCCTCACCTCACCTCTGCACACCCCCTGCACACCCCCTTCAGCTGGCAGCCCCTCAGCTGCACATCGATACCAACCGATTCACCCACCTAACTCAACCTACCCAATCATACTTACACCTACATACGCCACATCACTTTTATTTTATCATCATTATCATTATTTTTCTCAAATTGCACAACTCCACCAACTCGTGTTGAAATTATAATTCCGTTGAAATTTTAATTAGGAAATTAATGAAATTCTTCACCTCTCGGTGCGCCAAATAAAATTTCCCAATCAATTCCATTGTACAACTATTTTTTATCGATTCAATCGATTCGGTGGATCAATCATTTAGCTGAGAATTCGGTGTAAAAATTATGAATGTTAAAGTTTTGTGTTGGGATAGTGATAAATTCACCGGATGGAAGTAAAAGTGAGTGGCTGAGGGGTACATCCCCAACACGACAGCTAATCCCCGTCAAATAATCCGGGTGTATTCCACTATATCCAAAAGCAGACGCACCTCTCATTTGTTCATCGCACGATGACAGATGACAATGAAAGTGAGACAATGAGACTTTTCCCTGTCCCACTAAACTGTTGTCACCGTAACGAGGGGTTCCCGGGATTTTACGTCTAGCAATGAGAGTGCCTGATCTGTTTGCAATCTGTGCTCAATTACTATCGGATAATCGTTCTTCGGTTTCGCTCTCTACTTTCCCCTCTCTTCCTATTTTTCCCAAAAAACAATGAGAACCACGGATTTTTTTTTCTACATCACTTCATTTGTAGAAATGAATATATCCCCACTAAAAATCTTGAGAGACTGAATTTATTAAAGTACAGGGCAAAATTTGCCGATTAAACGAATGGATTTCGTAATCTTAATGGCACCAGTTTATTTAATGAGCGACAATAAGTCCGACTCGGATCATTTAATCGGAGCTATCATCACTCCAGGCCATTTATCGGCCCATCGAAACAATAAGGAACGGTTAAAGGGCATCAATAATGGTTGTCGGGGTATAGTGATGACAAATATGAAGTGTCTTCCGGCGGTTCAGCGGCGGATGTCCCACAAATGCGTTTCTTCCACTTCTTTTTTTTTATTATTATTTTTTATTTCCATCTCTTCGTCTCAAAAAAAATCTCTCTATCGAGAAATGGAAGGAAAAATAAATGAAAATAATGGGAAATAATGGGAAATAATGGGAAATAATGGGAAATAATGGGGAATAGTGAGGATTAAGTAATAAACACTTGGTGAAATTTTGAAAAAATTTGATATTGATTTGCACGGGGATATAAATAGAATTTTTTGGAGTGAATTCGCAGGGAATTGCACACCTCTTTCCCAAGGTGTTTGTAATTCACCTCGGGGTGTCGGGTCGCATCTCACATCTGCACGCGCCTAATCACGCTCGTGACGTCACATCCGGCAAATCTGACGATTAAGCGAAAAACGAGAGAACTACATTACTCCTCGCCCAGTCTATCCCAATGCTACATGATAATTTATCGTTTAAAAATAATAGTCCGAGGTGAAATTAAAAAAAAAAATCTTTGTAATTTTTTTAGCAAGCGATTCGAACGCGTGACAGTGTTGCAATCTCACGTTTGCAACAAAGTTCGAGGATTAATACATCTGATAGAATATTTTAAAGAAGATAAATAGAAGTGGAATATTGAAGTGGAGTTGTGATAGAGTGATGGAAAAAATAGTGAACCGAATCAAAAGTCACAGCTCGTTTCTCTTATCACATGACGTTAACCTTCGCCGTCTCCCCGATTGGCTCAATGTCGAGAATCGATAGATAATTGAAGTAGCCAACTCATAAAACGTTGAAGCAAAGTCAATTCTCAACATTTCATCAAATGCTCAATCATCTGAAAACTAGTCATTTCCGGAGAAATAAAATGAGCATTTGAAAACAATTCACTCAGCAATTTTTCACTCGCAGCCAATAATCGAAATCCATCGATACTGCGTAATTCTCGAAAACGATATAACTAATTACTATCGAATATTTTATGACGTAGAGAAAAATCAAATGACTTTCACCCCGGAGTAGCTCGTCCTTGAGATAATTACGTAATGATGGAAAATAAAAAATCCCAATACTCGACTGCAGTGTGAAAAATAATGATCGATGATTCCGCGGTGACGTAATTATTTCTGGAAGTACCAGAAAAATTGGAAAAAAATGTGGGGGGCGAGGTGAGGGTATGAGAGCAATTCCCCTCTCCAATTTCCTCAAATGCCCAGGATGATTTTATGAAAGGGTTGAATGGCAAACATCGTTAATTCCTAGCTCGAGAAATTTGACGGTTTTGGCCCTTTACCAGTTGCCGACTGGTAAAGGTCAATATTCCTCGAGTATACTCAACAAATAATCTTCATCGATGCGTAAATGAATTGAGCTCAGTGTTGTCTGTGGTTCTTCTGGCGTTTAGCATCGAGCCTTCCATGTACCCGGTAATTCAAACTCTTCCCTCGATTCCTATCGACCATTCGACTTTTGCGCCTGCACGTGCACTCGAGACTCAATTGTCTAATTGGCAAATAAATCTCGTTGTTTTCAGATGGTGATGGGGTGAGAGGGGGGTAAGAGGGGGGTCAGAGGAGGCGTCTCTCACCCCCTCAACCCACGATATTGATCCTCAGATCAATGGCCAGATATGTTCCAGTCATTCCATATTTTTTTCGTTTGAATCCGCAATTTTGGCTTGTCGAGGGCAAAGGGCCGCATCTGGTGTCAGTCAAGGGTTACGACTCCGCAGGGGATGAGTGCGGGTCACAGGGGTCGTCACCTGCTGGTTGAGGGGAATTTAGGTGTCGCGGGGGTTGATGAATGTAGAAATCAAGAGGGTAAATAGGAAAAATTTACTTCTCGGGAGAAAATCAAATAAAACTCATGGCCATGGATTATTTAAACATCTTCACTCATAAATTAAACACAAGTTATCCACGACTGCGAGCTGATTCTACAATTTGTCGGGTAGAACAATACATCAGGTGAATGCCACTAACAAACTATTGTCCGATAATCGCTCAATTCTCTCTCTCTCTCTCATTTCTATACAACTGGTGTAATGTGGATCGTCGTCGGGGGTTCATACGGAGACCTAATTCAGAGTCCCGTGACGTACCGTCTCGTGTGGGCTAATCGCGAATTTACGAGAGTATTTTTTAAATTATTTGTGCCATTTATTTTTAATAGGAATATTATACTAGTGCTGATTAAGGTGGGGAATCGATGAGCCATGAAATTATTGTAATAATTTTGTTTTTATTTCTTAATTCATTAGCTGTTTAAATAATACACCATTTTGAACAAAAATAGCTGTAGGTTTATCACATGAATTTAGTAAGGCATCATGAAATATTTATTCTGTAATCAATGATTTATGCACATAATTATTCGGCGGAGAAATGCGATGAAATACACGGAGTCAAAATATTTCAGCATCAATTGTCGATTATTAACCACTTGTCGGTCATTTTCTCGATCTGCTTCGTTAGGATGGGATTTCTCAGACGGATTTTCACCTCTAAATTACCACCGGCTGCTTTTCTTCCGTTCATCAACTGTAAAATTCAAAAAATTGAAAATACACACTCCAAAATTTAAGAATCGTCAATAAAAATAATTAATCATTGAATTGACTACCGGAAATGAGTCGTGGAGAGTGCATTGCGACTCCAATGGTAGAAGTTTGACGGTGACAGTTCCCAAGAGACTGTCACTTCTAAAAAATCCCCTGAAAAATATAAAAAAATTATCGTAAAGAGAAAACCGGCGATTTATTTCAATCTCAGTGAGACACTAAATGCACTACCGAAGATATGAATTTATTAAATAGATTTGCGAATTATTCACGAATTTTTTAATCACACGATTAAATTTAAAAAATCAGCAATTCCTCTACAAAATATTTGGTGCCATGCTGTACATTTTATTTTCATACCTTGGGTGAGTGCAACACAGCAGGGGATTCATCGAGCATCTGCAAGCAATACTCTAGTCTATTTAATGCGTCTAAATACAATAAGAAAATAAACTAGAAACAATTAATAAAATTACTCAAGGGTGATAAATCCAAAAGTGCAAAAAACCGTTAGATATTGAATAGGGTAAAAAAAATGATAGGGAAGAACTCACCCCTTGGACCAAACTTGACACTTGAGTCCGTGTCTCTTGAAGGCACGTTGACAGGGTCTGCTCGATCGGTCAACGATCCCAGCCAATGTAAAAGTCGCATCATACTCGGGCTCATTGGTATTTTTGATGGTCGAGGTTCGATCTGTCGGTGGACTATCACTGGGATACGGAAATTCGTAGATAACGTAGGTGTCTGCCTCCTTCGGATAGTTGATTCCCCTTACGATCTGTATTTCTACATCACCATCATTCAAATCTGTACAGCTCTGTACAATAGCATAAGTTTTGACTTCATAATGATGCTGAGGTGGTGGCAATCCATCCCTCCTCCTCACCCTGAGCATATCGAGATCTTTGCTGTAGCCCAGAGCGAGTCTCTCCCATCGATTGAATCCAGGAACATCACCAAGAGCTTTAGCATGATCCCTGGTCGACAGACAGACCTTCTTCTGCTTGATCAATGTTGCCTCCAGGTTATCGTAAATATCAGAATCAGTGCTGTTCTCGTCGATGGGCTGGCACTCCTCGGAGGACACTAGAGCAAAGCTGTCATCTGAAGATGCGTCGAGCTGACTTTTAGCAGTGGGTGAAAGTGGAAGGGAGCTCATGTCTACAGGCAGTCCAGCTCGGCTGGCATTGATGAGAGGATCAATGCCCTTGGCTTGCCTCAGGTAGTCCCTTGCCAGCTCCAAGTCCCCGTCCTTCTTCGCAGCCAGTGCAGCACGTTTCAATTCAGCTTGCCTCCGTTCCAGAATAAAAATCTGCTTATCAGCTCTGGTTTTAGGATTTGTCATTGGTTTCCTGGGGATTTTCGGGGCTTTCTCAGGTTCACTGGAGCCTGGAGGGCCCGGTGCAGGTCTTGTGGGACCCGAAGGAGATGCTGCAGGTGCTGGAGCATCAACGGCTATTGGAGGAAATCCGGGGGGTGTTGGAAGCTCGTTGAAATCCACAGGTTTCCCCTTAGAATGAAGTTTAATGGCATCCTCGTACTGTTTACAAATTCTCCCATACCGCCGGGCCTTGGAGGAGTTGCCCTCCTCCTCAGCAGCTGTCTTGGTTCGACGATAGACTTCCAGGCGTTCCTTTAAAGCTCCTGCTATGTCTTCCCCGGTGACTGGAGCTGTTGCATCCCCGGTCGACTCCTGCATCTCGCTCTCCTCTTTCTGGGGCTCCGCATGTACATTAGCTTCTGGCACAGCCACAACGTCACCAGGTAGTTGAGGAGAGGGTGGCATATCGGATAAATCCACTGTTTCTCCTGCATTCAGAGCAGCGACGACGATGTCAAATTGTTTGGCGATCTTCACGTGATTCAATGCCTGCTCCACGTTCCCGGATTTCTTCCACTTCACAGCAGCTATTCGGTACTCCTGTTGACGTTGTTTCAAAAGAGACAACCCTTCCTGATCGATAGCAGGTGGAACTGAGGCCGGAGGCTGCTCTGAGGGCTCTGGGATAGGTTCTGGAGGCTCCAAAGGCTCAACAGGTTCTGGAACTGGTGGAGGCTCTGTTTTTTCTGCTTCAGGCAAGTCTGGCTGTTCAATTGCAGATTCATCGTGGGGTAATGCCGATGGAGGCAGGGCAGGTGGAATATCCGACTCGTCGACAGCACCCCCAGCTAAGGCTGTACGTAATAAACCCTGGAGAGTCTTCACTCCTCGTCCATATCGTCTGGCTTTGCTTGTATCATTCTGACTCTTTGCTTTAGCCTCAGCAGACTTGTACATCTGCAGTCGCTGCTCCAGCAATGAAGTTGTCTCGGTTTCTGCTGTGGGAGAAATTTTTTCAGGCCCTGCATCGGCCTCCGGCTCTTCTTCATCTGAAATTATTCCTTTCAATTCGTTCAGGAGCTCTGGGTCGTTTTCATCGACGTCTTCGTCATCCTCCTCGTCAGAGTTAATGTCCTGGGAGATCGGCACGATTTTCTTCGGTCTCCTGGCCGGTGCTGGAGGAATTTATAATTTATTCGTGGATTTTGCGTAACTTTTGATAATTATGTCGAGTCATTCACCTTTAGGTCCAGCTCGTATATCTTCTCCTCCAGTTAAACGACGCAATTCCGCCTCCAACGCCTCATCATCATCGTCATCATCGTTCCCAACAGGATTTATCAGGAAGTCCATTGAGTCACCAGCCTGACAATTTCAACAGAAATCTTAATTAATTGGAAGTTATCGCGCTGGGGATAAAGTGAGATTAGATTTCGTGGTGTTGTCTCAGTGGAAGCATTTCAGCAAAAAATAACTGTACAATTAATTAACTAAGACAGTGCATTAAATAATGATTATAAGTAATAATAAATTATGGAACTAATAAAAAAATGAAAATGTTACTTTATTAGCGGTTTTAGTCGTGCGTTGTTTAGCCACTTTCTTCTTGCTAAACATTTCTATCTAAAATGTCTTACGTAATCCGGGAGGATTGAAATTACAAAAACCGTTCAAGATCCTGGGAATTCACTCTCTGTTCAATAACAACTGTTCGGGAAGAACGTTAGGTGTGATGGTTGGGCCTTCATGAAACTGTAGCTAATCAACTTGTCAGAATGATGATCTCACAAATAGTATAGCAACCTCCCGATTCACCTCTCCTATACCTCGATTTATTTTCAAAGCACGTGGATGTGGAGAAAAAATTCATTAACATTTTTTGTGGAGCATTAAATTTTCTACAAAAAAATCTAGTGACAATTTTCGATAGAACTGGTAGTTACGGAAATATTCAGCATTGCAAGAGGTTCTCAAGGTGTCAATCAAACCTCTAGAACTATACTCTTTGGTGTTAATATATCAATTGCACTTATTCGGCGCCTGCGATTGGTGGAGAGACCCGAGTCAGGTGAACTGCGTCGATACTTCGAGGAGCTGCAGCTGAGTTCAGGCCAGTGGGTCATATGATCGTTCAGTGAAAAGGGCGAGTCCGACATAAACTTGTGATCAGGCTCTTGTCAATACAGAAATAACTCCGCAGATTTTTGTGGATATTCGATTGATATTTCGTATTCGAGATGAAGGGGTGCATGTTTAATATCGATGGGGGTTACCTGGAGGGATTGTGCAGGGGTTTCAAGTGTGGGATTCTCCAGCAAAGTGATTATCTCAATTTGGTGCAGTGCGAGACACTCGAAGGCAAGTTTTTTAAATAATAAATTAAGCACCAATTCAAACATATACGTAATTGGGAAGTATTGTGTTTGAATTTGAATGAATAAATCACGTGAACTTGTATTCATTCATGACTTTATTATTTTTCAATTGATTAATTTTCCCCGATTACAGATTTGAAGCTCCATTTGGCTGGAACTGATTATGGTAGCTTTTTGGCAAACGAGCCTTCTCCCCTGCAAGTGGGAGTGATCGATGATAAACTCCGAGAAAAGCTCGTCATCGAATTCCAACATATGCGGAATCACTCCGTGGAGCCTCTGTCACAATTTCTGGACTTTATCACGTACAGCTACATGATTGACAACATAATTCTGCTGATCACTGGAACTCTGCACCAGAGGCCAATTTCGGAGCTCATCCCCAAGTGTCATCCCCTCGGTAGCTTCGAGCAGATGGAGGCTATCCACGTGGCTGCTACTCCAGCTGAGCTGTACAACGCTGTCCTGGTAGATACACCACTGGCTCCATTCTTCGTCGATTGTATCTCTGAACAGGACTTGGACGAGATGAACATCGAAATAATCAGGAATACTCTCTACAAAGCCTATCTCGAGGCCTTCTACAAATTCTGCAAGGATATTGGAGGGACAACTGCTGACGTAATGTGCGAAATTCTGGCGTTCGAGGCAGACAGGAGAGCTATCATCATCACCATCAATTCATTTGGCACTGAATTGGGAAAGGACGATCGTGCAAAATTGTATCCTCGCTGTGGAAAGCTCAACCCTGATGGCCTGGCAGCTCTCGCTCGTGCTGATGATTACGAACAAGTTAAGGCTGTTGCTGAGTACTACGCCGAGTACAGTGCACTCTTCGAAGGAGCTGGCAACAATCCTGGAGACAAGACACTGGAGGATAAATTTTTTGAACACGAGGTGCGTCTCAATGTCAACGCTTTCCTCCAACAATTCCATTTCGGGGTTTTCTACAGTTACTTGAAGTTGAAAGAACAAGAGTGCCGCAACATCGTATGGATATCAGAGTGCGTTGCTCAGAAGCATCGCGCCAAGATCGACAACTACATTCCAATATTCTAAAATTCTTCAGAGACCTCTCACTGTGGCGTCTATTTAAAATTGTTTATTTTGCCATTTTTTCTGACATGCTGTATAAAGACAGAAATTAATTCAATTTCATCGGAAGAAATGGGCAGGTCATATTAGCTAATTTCATTTTATCGGAGATCTATATTTATGCGAGGACATTGCAAAATTCTGCAATTTCAGGACTCGTTCCTCTGTAATTAATTGATCTAGTGAAGTATTATTCGGTTCGCTGAATTTTAATGTTCGAATTATTTCGTTGAAATGGAGGGGAGAATGCATTCCATTCTGAAAGATTATTCACTCAATTCGTGTATGTATCATAATTTGTGAAAAATATATCGAACAAGACAATTGTTTTGGATTCATTATAAAAATTATTTAATCATCAAGTATTTTAATCACGAACAAGTATTTACATCCGTTATCTCGATTTTAGATTTTTCTTTCGGATGTTCACTTTTATTTTTTTTATTTCCATTCTCTTGGGTCACTGGGGTCATCGTGGAGGCTTTCTTGGCTTGGAGGATCTCCGGATGTCCATTCCAGAATTTATCTCCGATGATGTCATCGAAATGAGAGACGACCTGTTGCCGGGTTCGGCCATCAGTGCCTTGCACGGAATCTCTGAAGAGAGTCGTCCCCTTTCGAAACATTTCTGGCTCGTTATTGTAATTAATTCCAAAGTCCTGGAACAGGAGCTCGTTCTTAAAGGCTGAAAGGGTTCCTTTCAGGGTTTGTTGAGCCTGAAACCATAAATAATTATCCACGTATAAAAAAAAATTCGAAGTGAGAATAGATCAGTGGATTTACTTGCGTCGTCGTCATATTTTTTTTCTGCACCAAATTCCAGAAACAAGTGTTATACAGATTATTGACGTGGACATCAGCTTGCCTCCAGGAGAGATAATCTCTCAGGTTCTCGTCAGAAGGATATAGAATTATTCTACCATCAAATGCTGGAGGATATTGCAACGGTGTACCCACAAAATATTTTTCCCAGTTGAAAACGTAAGCAGAGGCGAATAAAGAGTTTACGTACGTCAGGAGTTTGATCTCTGAAGTGAGAATAAAAAATAAGTAATGTAAAAATGGAAAATTTCGAGTGAAAATTCACCTCGTCTGCGGTGTAGTTGAGTATCCTTTCTAAAAACAAAAGAATATTCGTCACTCTGGCCATAGGCAATGCAAATTTCTTTGAATTCGTTCATGACAGTCACAGCTGCTGCGTTCATGAGCTCAAGTGCTCGAGAGTCATTGGGTTTTGTGAAGGAATGGGCATCAGTGAATTTTGTAAAATTTCTACCATCGAGTCTGATCACTATCCAACAATTGGGAAGACACACGTTCTCGTGCTCGAAATTCTTGACGTACTCGAATTTACTCTTCGCCATTGTACTCGTTGTTATAAATCTTATTACCGAATTACTCAATGTTTTGATGATCTTCATCAATATTTCCAGAATTATAAAATTCACACATATTCAAATCGAATGACTTCAACATTTACTAGGTTATGTAGCGCATGTTTGCAGGAGTGGAGGGGGGCCCAATTTTTTTGCCTTGGTTAATTGGATTTTTTTTTACCAATTTCGTAAAGCAGTCTCATATGGACGTTCATAACGGTGGAGTACGCCGTCCCGCTAGTTGAAAAAAATCATTGACACTCGCAATTATTTGTAACAATTGAACTGAAATAATGGATCAAATAAATATTTTCCAAACTCTCAATAAATATATTGAACTCAATTATTTATTGCTCGAACGAATGTATCAGCTTCACATCTAATTAATTCCCATTTATAATTTGTCTATGACACTTCAATGATTTGATTAATGGATAAAAAACTTAAACATCGTAACCAACGAGATGCCTCTTGCCGATGCACTCTCCGATGAAGAACCAGCACCAGATCTCGATACCCACAAGGGTGTTTACGAAAGCCTCCTTGACGGTGAGGTCTTTGTAAGCACCTGTCTTCGCACTGTGAATTAATTTTCCAAAACCTGCACGAATTGCTGGGATATCCCCTACCGACGGTGGAGTAAGCTCGACCTTGGCATAACGCAAGAAGTTTTCCACCTGGGGTTTGCCGACTGTCACTGCAGCTGTAATCCATCAACACCAGGAATTATGCCACAGTTTAAACAATTCTGGAGGAAATTTCATTCTCATTTCATTCAAATTACTTCATAAATTTGATTTTTAATACTAGAAAATCGAAGTTATGTAAGAATGCTCATATTCGTTACTCCAAAATGCGAAGAAATTGTCTTCAATTGTTGACAATTGTTTATTATGAAGTACTCACTCTTGGCGAGAGTTGCTGCCTTTCCAACGAGTCCAGACATTTTCCCAGGATGATTTTTTCTTTGATTAACCACTTGACGAGTCCACTGGAGATGACGACAGGACTGGGGTTAACCTCTTCTTCGAAAATTGATCGACAAGGAGAACTTTCAATGCACGAAGTGAGCAGAAAGTGGATAGTTGCACAAAAATGAGCAACTTCGTGGTGTTGAAAACATTGTTGAGACATTCCGAAGAGAATAAAGGCGCAAAAACCGGACTGGGAAAATTCTATCGTCTAAACAATATTTTTAAGTGTAAGTAATCCTCATTTAAGTGCAAAAACCCGAAAAATGCATTTTCCCAATAATTAATTTGACGAGGAAGTGGTAAATTCACTTGTACTTTACGTGGGAACGTTTATTAACCTCTGGAATAAACGAGGGACAATCACATTGTTTATTCGATTGAATTCCAGAAGGGGTAGGATTGCTGACACATTTTTATCGAGGAAGAAGAGATGTTTAATCAGACGAGCACATTGGGAGCTGTTGCACCGAGCAACTCGAACCCCATGAAGGATTTCGAGGTGGTTTCACCCCCAGAGGACTCAACCTCGAGTCTGGCCTTCAGTCCAGCCTCGATTCCCCAGAATTTTCTAGTGGCTGGGTCCTGGGACTGCAACGTCAGGTGCTGGGAGGTCGAACAATCTGGAAAAACTGTCCCCAAGTCGATGCAGACGATGGGAGGACCAGTCCTAGACGTCTGCTGGCACGATGTGAATCTTCACGATTATTTATATTATTTTTATATTCTATCTATCGATAAATTCATTAATTTGTTTATCCCTCAGGATGGAACTAAAGTATTTATGGCCTCAGTCGACAAAATGGTGAAATGCTGGGACTTGGCATCGAATCAGAGCATCCAGGTTGCTGCCCACGAAGCCCCAGTGAAAACCTGTCACTGGGTCAAGGGTTCCAACTACTCCTGTCTCATGACAGGCTCCTGGGATAAAACCCTCAAATTTTGGGATGCCAGGAGTCCAAATCCCATGTTGACTATTAATTTACCAGAACGATGCTACTGCGCTGACGTTGTGAGTACACCATTAATTTTAAAAATTTCTTTCGGAATTAATAAATTAATTCACAGGACTATCCAATGGCAGTGGTTGGAACTGCAAGTCGAGGCCTAATAATCTACCAATTGGATGGCACCCCTCACGAGTTCAAGAGAGTCGAGTCTCCTCTGAAATACCAGCACCGTTGCGTCGCGATATTCAGGGACAAGAAGAAAGTACCAAATGGCTACGCTCTGGGCAGTGTCGAGGGTCGAGTTGCTATTCAATACGTCAACCCCACAAATCCCAAGGACAATTTCACATTCAAGTGTCATCGGTCGAACGGAGCACCAAACGGCTACCAAGACATCTACGCAGTCAACGATATTGCATTCCACCCTGTTCATGGGACTCTGGCCACTGTAGGGAGCGATGGGACCTTCAGCTTCTGGGATAAAGATGCGAGGACTAAACTAAAACCTTCAGAACCCATGGAGCAACCCATTACACGTTGCTGTTTCAACCATAATGGACAAATCTTCGCTTACGCCGTTTCTTATGACTGGTCAAAGGTGAGGTTTTTCTCGGATTTTGAAAAAATGTCACATTTCATGGTTTTAATTTTAATTATTGATACAGGGCCACGAATTCTACAATCCAATGAAGAAAAACTACATCTTCCTCAGGTCATGCTATGACGAGCTCAAGCCAAGGAGTATCTCATAAAACATTCACTTTCTTCTATTTTAATTTTTATCATGATGTTCAAATAAATCTTTTCATATTGCAAAATCATGCGTTCCATGCTCAATGAATTTCTCCCTTGTAATTCAAATATGTTCATTATGGTAAGAAATTGGCGCCAGTCGTCGACTAAAAATCAGCCTTACTCCGAAAACCTCGTCTCGACTTCCTTCGGCGATCTCTACGTTTCGTGGGGTGCCTTGACGTGCCTGTGTGATAAAATTACCCAATAAAATCAACGATTTATTTATATTTAAATTAAAAATCCACCTTCCAGCGGACTAATACACGTTGAAATGGCAGCCCAGTGGATAAGAAAAGTCGTGAGTGCAATTCGTAATAATTCTCAGTGATCATCCTAAAAATTTATTTTATCCATTGATTTTCCCATCTGCAAAAATTAACAATCGTGGAAGGTTAGAATTTCCAATACACCTTCGCAAATTCCCCACACATACGTGGTTCAATCTCCATTACCCTCATCTCGTCTCTCTTTATTTCTGTCCACTGCTCCCCTTCGCAGCTTCTCAACTTTCAGCTGCCTTTTGAATGAATGCCTTTTTTCCATCATTAAATGGATTTTAGGTGTCACCTGGAGTCACTGGGGCTCGATTATACAGTGGAGGACCCCACAAGTGTACCCTCATCCCTGGTGATGGCATTGGACCCGAAATTTCAGCTGCTGTACAGAAAATATTCGATGCTGCCAAGGTATTTATTGATTACCCAATCGTCCTGTTTTTTCTCAGCTCATTTTATTCAATTTATTCAATCCACAAAATCGAAAATATCACAATTGACGTGTCCTACCTATCACCTTGACCCGGTTGAGATATTTCTGGTGATAGAAATGGCAGGGGTTATCAAAAAAAAATTATTCAGCTGATGCTTCTCAGTGTTTTGGAGATCAAGAGGTATTTTTTTAATTTTAGGTACCGATTGAATGGGAATCGGTGGACGTAACACCTGTGAAAGGGCCCGACGGAAAATTTGGAATTCCTCAGGCTGCCATAGAGTCAGTTAATAGAAATAAAATCGGCCTCAAGGGACCCCTTATGACTCCCATCGGAAAGGGGCACAGATCGCTAAATCTCGCCTTGAGAAAGTGAGTTGTTTAGTGAAATTTATTTACAACAATTTTAAATATTCGTTACAATTTCTTTATCGAATTTCCCAGAATTGAAATCATTACGTAAAACATTGTTAACGAAGCCATATCTTTAGAAAGGCAGTTATTGTGCTTTTGTTCCCAGAGAATTCAATTTGTACGCGAACGTGAGACCCTGTCGCTCCCTCGAGGGATATAAAACCCTTTACGACAATGTGGACGTCGTAACAATTCGTGAGAATACCGAGGGTGAGTACTCGGGAATAGAGCACGAGATTGTCGATGGTGTTGTGCAGTCCATCAAGCTCATCACTGAGGAGGCGTCAACGAGAGTCGCTGAATTTGCCTTTCAGTATGCCAGTGACAATAATAGAAAAAAGGTATCAATATTTCTATTGAAGGAAAAAAAAAGGAATCCATTGCCGTCCATTCATTTCTACACGCCTGTTCAAAAAAATTCAATCCATCCACCCACTCACTACCCCCCTTCTCTAACCCCCAAATATTCAAATAAATTATTGGAATTTTTTTTTATTAAAAAAAAATATCCATTAGTGTAAGATAAGTGCGCCATATATGCTAATCATAAAAATTACCCTGGAATTAAATAATTAATCACCAGGTGACTGCAGTGCACAAAGCCAACATAATGAGAATGTCAGATGGTCTGTTCCTGCGGTGTTGTCGTGAGGCGGCTCAAAAATTTCCAAACGTTAAATTCGAGGAGAGATACCTGGACACAGTCTGTCTGAACATGGTGCAGGACCCGAGTAAATACGACGTTCTGGTGATGCCAAACCTCTACGGAGATATCCTCTCCGATATGTGCGCTGGTCTTGTGGGAGGTTTGGGATTGACTCCAAGTGGAAATATCGGACTCAATGGTGCCCTCTTCGAGTCTGTTAGTGTCCAGGAGATTTATTCTAAATCACAATAAAATATAGAAATGAATTCACTGGTGGGAATAAATTTTTCAGGTGCATGGAACTGCCCCAGATATCGCTGGTCACGATAAAGCCAACCCCACAGCCCTCCTCCTCTCCGCAGTAATGATGCTGAAGCACATGGGACTCACAGATTATGCCAGAAACATCGAACATGCAGCTTATGATACCATCAAAGAAGCCAAATATTTAACTGGGGATCTGGGGGGCACTGCCAAATGCAGCGAGTACACAAACGAAATCTGTAAGAAAGTCGCTGCCAAGTCGAATTAATTCATTGTTGCCTGTTAAGTCGTGGGAAACTGTTGAGAGCTATCAGGAATCAGTGAAAAAGTGGTAAAACGAGAGACGAGAAACGAGAATTGGGTCGAATCTCGTTCTACGATTTTTTGTACTGAGAATTTTTCATCTGCAAATCACCAAATACTCGTCGAATATTTAATCACTATAGAAGAAATCCGTTTTCATTCATCTTTAGTTTCCAAAATGGTTTTCAAATGCCTGTAGAAAGAATTGTGTGAATTCAAACGAATTGAATTATCATTCGCTGGCATGTGTCATACGTCCATTGAACTGTCGTAGTGAATTTTATGTAATGTACTATCTACTGTGAAAAGTCAAATCTCGAGTCTCTAGTGTTTAAACCGAAAGAATAAAGTTGGGAAATGATATTTTCCACGATCAAGTGAACTGTATAGGACTGTATAAATACCAATCGATAAGTCGTTGCGAGAGGAGTGCAATCCTCAGTGAGAAAAATCATTAGATGACGAACGTGTTCGTGCAGTATTAATGATCAATAAAGTTGAAACAAAAACGATTTGTTCCGTTGAATAGTCCCTTTTTTACTCCCCCAATGTCTTTATTATTTCCCCAACACGAAGTAAAATTGCTCTCAGCCCTGATAATGTACCTTTACAACAAAATGTGAACCCTCTCGACGAGATGAGAGGGTTCACGTGATCTCGAAATGTGAGAGAAATCAAGAAGTTCCCCTCATTCAAGGCATATCGTGATTCTTACACCGGGCACTTCACTTACTCCTATCCTATCCACCACACCCTCACCGAGATCCTCCACCCACACCCACCCCATCCCTATTATTATCAAAGCCAAGGGAAAAGTTTCAAGCATGAGAAAAGTTGTCGGCAATATTTCACAACTCTCCTCGGAGAAAATATGAAAGATGAAGAGATAGAATGTCATTTTCGCAAGCTCGTTAATTCCTGGAGATTTATTGAAATTCCAGTGGTGAATAATTGACGTGTCAGCCCACTGAAAAATTTACGACTTTCTTTTCACCCAAAAATACAGCGAAATTATTCCCACAACAAATAAAATATCGCCGATAAATCCTTCAAAATCTTTACATTTTATCAAAGGGATCGTCAATAAAAAAAAATATGTCTCTGCATATTCTTTTGCCCGTTGAATGAATATGCAAAAGAGTGTTGTCACGGCTGGGAAACAATAAAAATTTTCCCGAGAGCTTGTTGAAAAATTATTCAGATTTATGCCCCGGTCTCATGTACATTCGTTTGCCCCTCAACTTTTCGAATATACCTATATATTTAGTTTGGATATAGGCATGTGTGCACGTCGTTCAATTTGATTTTGTATACCGTGAGGTACAAATTTCATGTATTATTCATGGTCCATCTATCTGCTCAATGAAAACGATCTTCATGATTTGAAAAATCTCGTGAATTTTACGCGAACGCGCGAACCATTATATTTATCATGAAAAAAATACATTTTAATTCCTCCGATTGATGACAACGACCGCAAGACATCTGCGGATTAAATAAAATATATTCACCCCCGTGGAATGATCCGTTAATCCGGATAGAGCACCTGGAGATGTTCGTCATACGAGTGACACCTCGAAGAAGTCTCTAGTCGTCAGTGCAATCAAAGTGAGTTAAAGACACCGATCAAAATGTTTCGCTTCGTATTTATCGTACTCCCAGTGATCCTAACAATTAAACCCGTGCATTCGCGGGTTCTCTACCTGGACCCAAGGAGCGACTTTTCCCCCATTTATCCGGATGACACTGAACAGGCTTCCAGGGATTTAGATTTGACGTTTTTCGCCGGTGAGTCTGGGGAAAACGCAGAGCAAATTCATCCCGCGAGAAAGGTAACCGAGTAACCGAGTAATCGAGGAGGCAAACTTTCTCATCACCCCCTCGTAATTTATTGGATTTAATTTATTTTTTTGTTCAGACCATTATCTATCCATCAGAGCGATCCTTGGCTGGCAACTTGGAACGTCCTATGTACTACCGCATCTCAGAAGGCCCCGTAAAAAGAGTTGTCTATCCTGATCCCCAGCCTTACGAGAGAAATCGTAATTTAATGAGACTCAATCCTCAGAAGGGTGAGGTTGTCCTCGAGCTCCGTGTCATCGCCAATAACAACAATGGGATATAATTAAATAAAATAAAACAAGGCAATGTAAAATATATTAATCGAAAGAGAGAGAGAAAAAAAATGTCAATGATAAAATTATTGATTTTTGCTGGGATGAAAATAAAAATAATGTGAGTTTGCAGATTTTTTTCATCGTTAATTCATTTATTATTTGGTCCCCAGTCGAGCCCGTAATTAACGAGATTTTTCCCTCGTCTTTGATCTCGTTAAACGATCGCTCTCCCTCCCCCCTCATTAATTGATATTTTCTGATGAGGGAAATTGGAATGATTCTCTTTCATCACACTCCATCCAATTCAATAATTTTTTTATTCCATTGAGACGAAATTTACACAGTTGATACCTTGCTACACCGTTTTTTTTTTTTTATATTTGATTCATTATTCAGTATACAGACATTGAAAATGCCGTGAGATATCTAGTCTAGTAATTATTTACAATTTTATATTTTACAAAAGACAAATGAAGCCAACAACTGATGAGTAAGTCGATTATTTGTTTTTTTTTCATTGGTGAAAAGATAATTCACGGATTGTTTCATGATTAATTCGTTGTACACTCCACGAATATTTCGGAGGGATGGGAGAATTAATGATAAAAATATTTTGAAGACGTGAATTGGTATTTATTAATGATTTCACTCGGTCTTTGGTGACTGGGCGGGTTCTTCCTTGGGTTCCTTAACATAATCGACAACGAGTTCGAGACCGATGAGAGCTCGAATATCTTTTCGATTATCTTCGTCATGACAAGACGGAGACAACATCGCGTCTTCCTTGGATGCATCATCGACGGCTGAAAATTAATATGAGACTTTAACTTTGAGGGAAGACTTTCCAACTTTCGGAAAAACTACTCCATCACTGCATATGGAAGTTTCAGTTGACTATCAAGTTCTCGAGAAAATCCCTCAGAAGGACAACTATTCAAAATTTTCCCTTAACCCTTTACTGAAATTTTCCCTGAATTTTTAAGGAATTCTTTCAATAATTCCACGAAAATTGATCTCATGAAAATTCCTAGAATTTTCAGGGACACTTTGAATTTATTGTAATAATTTATGGAGTTCATGAAAAAAGGACTCACATTCACAATCTCGTTGGTCTCTTCCCTTGTCCTCCCTAGCCCTGATTGCCACGTCCTTGATGCCCTTATACGTCCTCATGAGATTCTTCAGAATGAAATGCGTTCCACGAGAGTTCTCTTGGGATTTCTTGGAGGTGCTGGCCTCGTCCCTCGTTAAATTCAGGGGCCTGTTGAATTCCTTGGCCTGAGGAACACTGAATGCCGAGCAGTGTTTGCTTTTGAAGGGTGCCTGTCTCTCGCTGAGTTTTCTGTCCCAGATGTGTCCAGAGACACGCAGGTCGATGAAAAAATGAAGAGGATCGATTCCAGGGTAGGATTGGGGCAGGGGATAAGGTGGGTACCACAGAGGACTCGGCAGGAAGTCCGGGTTCGGTACCGCTGGTGGGAGGAAATTCTTCGGAGTTCCTGAAAGCTCCTCCGGGCGAGATCCCAGACCAGGAACGAAATTCCTCGCTGAAAAATCGAGTTTGTTCTTCGGTTCCTGGGAAAATGACAAGTCTGGATTTATCTTCTGACGTTCCTCGTATTTCCGATCGTTTGGGGGAGTCATCTGCTCCTCTGGTTTGATCTTCTGACTCGGGAAGATCTCGTGGGTGATGCGATCTGCCCCGAAGAGCCTCGAGGAGTCGTCGTAGAAATTCCGCGGTTGTTTCACGAAGTCCGTGGGACTCTCGTCCGGAGGCTTGAGGACGTCGTTGAAATTTTTATTCTCCTCGTACCCCGGGGGCTTCAGCTCGGACTCAAAAGCCTCGGGTTTGAATCTGTTCTCCGTTAAATCCTGGTGGAAGTACTTCTCGGAATGAGACTCGTGTGTTTTTTCTTTGGTCGTGAGCTCGAGGGGTCTGTCTCTGGCATCGCGCCACGATCTCTTCCGTCGGCGGTTGACGGGCGTCGGGGCCGTCGAGGTCGTCGCCGTCTCGGACTTTGCCTGGACAAACGACCTGAGCATCTCGCTGAAGAAAAAACTGTGGGGTGTCAGAGGGACATTGTAGAGATACGGAGGTGTTGCTGCGAGTAATCGAGAGACTAAATCACCCCCGGAGAGGGTCGACGGGTTTTTGAGAGTTGACGGCTCCCCAGTTGTCGTTGTCATTTCACTAATATTTTATCTGCAACGACAAATTCTCACTTATCTAAAAAATAGAACAATGAAAAATGAAGAATAAAATAATTTGTATGCGAGTACTGGAGAGAGCGATCCCTAAGACAAGTACATAATTATCATCTCCAGCTGGTCATTGTCTGGAGGATTAATTGAATTGAATAGAAGAGCAGTGTCTAAGGAGAGGGTTTCACCCGGGTGATTCATTAAGCGCTTCCGTCAAGTGCACCTCACTGGCCATTGGACTAAATCTCGAAATGGTGGTCCACTCGACGAGACCCCATTTTGCCAACAAGACACAACAAAATGGGGATGAAAAAAAAAATGTGAAGAAGAATGAGTGGTGAAATACCGTGATAAATCCATATTGGTATCTACCCTGGTTTGAGAGGGATGCTGGGGGATGCTGGGGGATGCTGGGGGATGCTGGGGGGATGGAAACCAAGAGGCGTAGGTTTGAGCATACAACAGAGAGGAAAGGGAATGGATGCATTGTTTCGGTCCATTGTTTTCACCAAACAAACGGGCGTCCACAGGCACTAGTCACCGTAGATATTATGTTCCACGCCAGCCAGACAGGATGAACGGGAAATGGACTGCTGTCAGGTTTTCTCTGGGACAAACTGTCATGATAAATCTAGAGTTGGCCCAACACTATATACCCATTCATGTTTATTATTCCCTGATCAATAAATAAATACAGCGATAATAATACCATCGCATTGGCTAAAATTCAATTTGCTAATCTCCTAATTAATAGAAAGGAGGGGATCAATTATTTATCCACGAAATGTGAAATGGCATTTGAAGTCGTGAAATTATGCATTCGTTGGAGTACAGGGGGTGGAATTATTCTGGTGAGTATAAAGTATGAAATGGAGGGAATGAAGGGAAAGATGGGAAAAGCAGTTTCCACTGGGTTTACGATTCATAAGACAACTCGGAGATTGAATTAAGCTGTACCACCAGCTGCCACTCTCTGCATCCTCTCTATATACCTCACACTACTCTCTGCAGACCAATGGTAAATCTGCATAATCCCGTCACGTCGACCATTCTAATTGGCGGATTGTTTCAATTTCTCGTCGTCACCAACCCCTTCTCCTTCAACTCCATTCCATTGCGTTAAGTCTACGGAGATATTTGCATTTTCCTTACGGTGGGGGGAAGTTATGGTGAATAAATATACAGAAGTGGAAGAAGTGGTGGGACCAATTTTCTTAAGTCTATTTCACCAAGAAAAAATCAACTTCACCATAAAAGCTCAACTACTTAAATGCTCGTCAATCTGCTGGTGAATTTTCGCGGTCAATTGACGTTTTTCGATGGTTTTTTTTTTTTGTGATGGAGCTCTCGAGTGAAAAGAGGTGATTGGACTGGTCTGACTCCACGCGGTCATTCACTACTGCGAGTGCCCTTATCTCATTCGGATTGTTCTATTTCTTTTTTTATTCTTGTTTTGTGAATTTTTCATATTGCTTCTCTCGACGGCCCATCGTCGGTTTAACAGTCCGCAGTAAACATTTTTATTTCCCCAGCGATATACCCTCCATCAAATAAGAGTATAAAAAAATAGTGGAGTATTATTCAGACGAGGAAATCAAAATATGGAGGGAACTTTGATGACCGGAATTTCCTTGAGAATGAAAAAGCTCTTAATGTGGGGGGCAGTCCACCTACTGCAAGTCTAGTGTGTTGAACTCACCGCGGAAATATTTCTTAATGTCAAGAGCGCATTCCCTCCCTATTCTCGCCCCGTTAAATTCCAATCACCCCATTAATTTCCAATCAATCAAAATTCCACTGGAATCATAATCCACACGAATCCATAGTCAAATAAAATCGCCAATTTTCCATATTTTTCAAAATCACTTTTCGCTGAATATCTCGTCTTCAAAAGAATAAAGCAAAATTTCTGTAGAAAAAATTTGGCAACTCTAATCTAATAATGAAAAAACCTTCCGAATCCTCAGGTGTTTCGATTTTTATTCGCGAGAATAAAAATGTTGCGCCCAGAAAATAGGAGATTCATCGATTAAAATATTTTTAATAATAAAAAAAATGGAATGTACACTAGGGATGTAAAACGATGTATTAGAGATATTTTTAGGAAACTTACCTGGTGGTTGACGATAACTCGTGGTATCCACACTAAAAAAAAAAAAAACAAGATAATCCGCGAAAAATGGCCCTTTGGCTGTTCGATGGACGCGTGCAGGCCCTACACCGGTAAATGAGATAATAATCGTAGAAGCCCGAGTGAGTCTGCGGTGACGAGTTGGATGTTACGTGGGGAGAGGATGGGGATGAGAATGGGTATGGGGATGGTGTTGGGGTTGAGGATGAAGCGCGCCTCCTCAACCATAGGAATCACAGTAAGGTAGATATTTGGTGGTGGGGATGGCATAGGAGAAGAGGATGGAGAAGAGGATATGGCATCCCCACTGTAGGGACTCCCTCTCATCCCTAGGATTTCATTGCAGAGTGAAGGGAATCGGGAGGGTGGCGGTTTTCGAGATGATCCGGCCAATCTGCGCATCATTTTCCCTCCCTCACACTCCCCCAAAGTGGGAGGAGAGGGAGAGGGCCCCCTGTTGAATGCCACATTTCGCGGTGAGCCGAGTGGGTACTAAAAGTGGGCGGGAAAAAGAGAATAAAAAAAAAGAGAAAGAAATAGTAAAAAAGAAAGCCGAGAGAACATTTTTTCCACTCGCTTTTTTTTTTTTCCCCCCCAATGTCGTATACAGTGCGGATACTTTCTGGGCTCGCGCTTTTACGTTTTTGTTGGCGATGGGAGAAAAAAGAAATTGGAGAAAACATGGATATAACGCTGTCCTGGGTGGATGGATATATATTTTTTTTCTTTGGCTGTTGGCGGGGGGGGGAGGGGGATGTTTCCATTGCACTTGGCTGGGATGAATGTAGCTACAGGGGGTGTGGGTGGATTTTTTCCAGTACACATGTGAGGGGTTTTAGAATTTTAGAGGATATTTATTCAGAGCAGACTGCTTGCTGCTATTCAACCGTCAAGAGGATTTTTATTTTTCTCGGTAAACATATCAAATGATTTTTTTTTTACCGTATCATTTCGTTTGAAAGAGCGAGTCGCAAAAATTTGTGGGGCTCTTTTTAAATACCGGGGTGTGCATTATCAATTTCTTTTGATACCGTGAAAAAACGTAAGCGCGAGATAAGTAAGGGGTGGAAAACAATTTAGCCGAAATTTCGCGTCGCTGGCTGCGGTGACTGGATACACTCTTATTTGTCCCCGCGGCAATCTGTCGGCACTCGACGAGAGCTCAACCCCTTTTTTTTTTTTCACTCTCACGCCCTCGATCCTTTTTACCACCCCTCGTTGACTATCCTCTTATCCAGCTGTCTCTTCTCGTTTGCCTGCACGACTGAAACCCGAGTCTCTACTATTCTATTCGAAAGACCCACCCCATCCCACCCCATCTCTCTCACCACGCGGTGGAGTCACACGGGAATTTTAAACACCCAACGATTCGTCACTGTGACAACAACTCCCGAGGCCTCTCTACCTCATTGTCGACTTTTCCACCGCATTTTCAATCTTCCCAAATCTCCGGGTCTTAACTCTAAACGTTTTATCCAATCACTTCACCACCCATAGAATAAACTCATCCCAAATAATTTACCAATTCGTTAATCATATCAAATGTTAAAAAGCAATCAGAATTTTTTTATCTGTCTACGCGAAAAAAAAAATTGTATAAGAGAGACATTGGAGAGAACATTACTCGAAATGATCCGATAGAAATTTACCATTTCACCCCCTCGGAGTGTAATATCCCTGGGAAGTAAGCTCCCGAGAATTTGGTCGTTCACTCCATAGTCAAGTTGTCTCCCCCCTAGCCACCCTCCGACGGTTTCTGCTTCGAGTACGAAGGGATGCAAATAACTGGTGATAACAACAGATAGCTGGAGCATCAGTGGTGGGAGGAAAGTGAAAAGGAGAGAGGGGTATGACAAGGGTGGATGGGGGTGGGTGGTGATGGGTGGTGGTGAGGGGATAGTTGGAGGGGGTAGAGAAACGTCACTCGCTGTCGCATCGAGCGATGAGTGGCGCGCGCTAGCCTCAGTTCGTCTTTTGTTTGCGATCCGATGCGACTGCCAGGCACAGAGATGCCCCAAATGGGGGCTCAGGGGGGTGTCAGGGGGTGGATTTTAGGGGGGAGGCTATCGTGTACTGAAAGGCTGTCTCTGTTTCACTATGGGTTTCGTCTCGGTGAATCGCGAGAGGAGTACCACAGCCACATGGTACACTTAATGTCAGAGCATCAAGCACATCAATGCGATACTATTATACCCCTACCCGGCCCCGGGTGGCCACTGATGCACTGATATCATCGGCCACTAGAAATTTTCCATTTATTGATTATCAGTGCTAATTAATTCGTCATATGATTTGGTCTGGCAATTAGGGTGGATGGTTGGTCCTTTGATGGGGCTACTTTATGGCTTAACTCCTTCGTGAAGTATTGAGGGCAAGAGATCTTCCGAGGTAAACGCGAGAGGACCCTGGGTCAAAGGATAACGTGGGTCTACCCTCCCCGTCACTCCCTTTGACACGAGTATACGACTGTGGTTTAAATAATTGCACGTTTCAACGTTTCATCCCCCATTCACCGAAAAACCACCGGTAATGCGAGAAAATAATGCATTAACTATTAATCAATGCCAGAATAATTGCAATTGCGGTTCCTTATATATGACGGTAACTTGTTTTCAAACTGGCAAGGCATCCGGGACAATTAAATGTCGGGTAAGTAACTTCCCCACCTATACCAAGTTTCCCAAACTAGCGGGTGAAGAAGGAAGAGATGACTGTAGATTTGAGGGATCCCTGAAGGAGGACAGTAAACAACTTTGATTAAATATCTCCCTCGTTGAGAGGAATAAAATGAGGATAATCCCTGTTTGATTGTCTTTCCCTCATCTTTCCATTTGCAATTTCGCCGTCTTTTTCTACTTCCGGTGGATAAGTAATAGCTCCGGGATAATTACTGTGTTAATATTTTTTATTGTGGTTTGGGGGATGGAGCGAGGATCCTAACACCGGAACAATTGAAAATTTAATGGAATTCAATGTGTCGATAAAAAAAAGGAGAGACCTTTAGATGAAGATCACGGGAACGCGGAAGATTAAAGTTTTAGAAGTATCGATTCGTCGGGGCAACCGTTGACAGACGTGGAGAGGGTTCGGGGGGTGTGGGAATGGCGTAGAAAAAGGGTACGAGAGGGTGGGGGATGGGGTATGGATCGTCAAAGAGCATAATAATTACTGCGCCCGCAGAGAAGAGGCTCAACCCTTTGTTCTATAGTCACTTTGCTATACGGAAGAACGATGGGATGAATGCGATGGGTGGGGGGGTGGTTGTAACGCGCGAAACTCTAGTTCTGTCTCTTTGATTGCTGTGATACGTGGAGAAGAGGTGGCTGGGGGTGGACCGAGGCAAAAGCATCCGTTTCACCGTGTCGTTATCATTATGTAATTGATCCGCGTTTCCTGCGTGTGAGATTATTGATGGATGAATTTTTTTTTTTCGACAATTCCCAAAGATATTGTTCTTGATCATTTGGATTCATGCGAAATTGTCTGGGAGGAGATCCCATAATTATCGCATTATTCCGTTAATGAGATCTTTTTGGTGAGCGATTTCAATACAATCTTCTCAGTAATAGACTTCACTTCAGTTTTTTTTCTATTAAAAAAAAATAAAATCCACTACGAAATCGTAAAAAATCCCAAACTATCTGAAATCACAACAAAAAAGGCTGAAGAGGATAAAAAAAAATGGCAAAAAATCTCCATAAAAATGGAACCAGCGTATGGTGTAATCCGGCTGAGGATTAACGTTGTCGAGGGAGTGTGTTCCATAAAAATGGTGGAAAAGTGGTCTGTCTCTTGAAAAAAAAATATAAATAATAATCCACGGACGAAATTACTCTATTGCCAATCCGTGAAATTCGTACTCCTCCGATAATGCATAGAATATATATTTATTACAAAATATCCAAAGAGCTGCGTTACATAGTGATGAAAATCCTCGAACTAAATCTTCATTTATTCCACTAATTCTACTCATTTATCAATTAATTATAATGACTCACAGCGGATCGTATTAGTACGTCGGGGGAAGCAATAACAAAATTAAATCACATGTTGTGGAGTGTGTCTTCAAATACTTCTTTGAATGGAAGAGAGAATTAATAATACGAGTACCGAACGAACGAAAAAATTCGGAGTAAATAAAAAAATGAATACTCATGGCTTGGGCGACTTTTTCTTCTGGTAAAGACCGATGGATGATGAATTCGATTTTAGGCATTCTCACTGGCTGGTCTCTTCTTATTCTGCGACAACAAAAATTCAGACAAATTAAATTGCGAATAAAACAATTGTGTTAATACACTTTTTAATCATTTGATAAATGAAACGATTGACTCACTGCTTGCTTTGCAGATTTGACTTCAGTACTGGTGACTCTCGTTTTCGAGCGTTCTTGCTCCAATTGTGCATGAAGGGACTGCACCTCTGACGTCAATTCGTCACGAATTTCCTGGAGCTTAGCAACTTCGGCTAGAACCGTAGCTTTATCTTTCACTAGACGAAAATAAAGTAAAGCATTTTACAATATTAGTAACTTTTAATTATTTCCAAGAGTGTGCAAAGATGATTGATTTTTTTTTTTAAAACTTACTCTCCCCGAGAGATAGGATCTGATAAAGTTTTTTATTTCTCTCCTTGACCTGAGACAATTCAGCTTTGAGTGTCACCACCTCATCCTTGAGCTCCAAAATCTGTTCATTTCTCTTCTCCACCTCGACTTTTAACTGGGCAGACGTTATATCATTATCCAGAGTGTTCAATCTTTTTTTCAACATGTCTCTCTCTTTGCACTTGATCATCTCTTCTTTAGTCTCTTTATCCATTCTCTCAAAGAATTCAGCGTCTGATTCACCTAAAAATAATCACGGGTCAATGTTTATAAAGGGAGGAAAAAAATAGCATGTACAATTAATTCGGAAAATATTGAAAGTACTTTTGTGTGGGAATGACTTGGAATCCTGGTGATTAGCCCCCGTAGTTTCGTTATTCCCCATATTATTAAATTCTTCAAGCGACATTGTGGATTTCTTGGATTTCTTTCCCCCCGATTTTTTTGTTGCATCTGGATCCTTGACTCCATTTTCTGTTTGCGTCTCGTAGGCCAATTTAGAGAGGATCAGAGCTTCGTGAAGTTCTTGTTTATACGCTTCCTCTATAGCCTATAAAAAAATATAATCAATGGATAAAAAATGATAAACACAGAACAGTGGTAGAATAAAAAATGGTACCATAGTATCCTTCTCCTTCCACTGCTCCCACTGCTGTGTCGCCAGGTTACCCCTCTTCTTCTTAGACTGAAAAACCAAAAAGTCTCCCATTGAAACCGAAACTTTCTCATTGTCCCTTATCTATCTCCGACCATTTAAACTTTCCCGCCTATCCACGGAGCCGCTATCATCGACCATTAGCCGGCGAGATAAATAAAAACAGAACCTCAAACAATGAACTCACTTTGCTCTTCTTATTTTTATCATCTTTCTTCTGCCTCGGGGGTTGGCCTTTTTGCTTATCATTTTTGCTCTTAGCCTCGCTCTTTCCATTGCTCACTGATTTCTGGCTTCTCTTGGGTTTCGGATCATCATCATCGAGAGCAAGAACAGCAAAACGTGAAGGCACAGCGGTAGCCATTGTATCAATGCAATTTTATTTTCAAATAATTGACTTGCACAAATTAAACGATGGAAATAGCGCTCAAGACGAGACAGAATAAATTTTCTCTCTACACCGTGAAAAATGGACTTCCGGTGCGTGACAGATAGCTTCCACTGATGATATTCACCATGACTCCATTATTTATTCATGAAGAGTTTCGATGTTTTGATCTTTATCTCGCGCAAACTCTCCAGAAGGAGATAAATTTTTTTCGTTGATTTTTCGGGAGATGACGGGGGGGGAAGAGGAGATGAGAATGCTACTGCGCATACCGGAAATGAAGCGCATGTGATGACGCGCGTTCAGGACGGACAATATAACCGACAAAAGTGCGGGAAATATTAATAGCAAGAAAAAATTCATCCATAAGATCCATAATATTCCATAAATCCCTTCACTCTTATTTTTTGCATAAAAATAAATCTGGCTGTCCAATAATTCCAGTCGAATTACACTGATCACATCGGAAAGGTTTTCAAATTAAAGAAATGGCGTCAAATTATTTTAATTTCACTGAATGCACGTTGAGTTGTAAAAAAATGAAGATTAGTGGTGTTTTTTGTGGTCTGGCGAATTGATAGGAGTAATAAATCGGTCAATTGGAGGTATGAAAAGACTGGGCAAGCGAAAATATAAAAATGAGAATGATTTTTTAAAGTTGTCGGACATGCAATTCAACGAACACTGATGCAACGCGCAAAATGGCGCCTGCTGTTCCCTCTACTCAGTGGTGTATTCATTGAAATCGTATGAAGTGCCCCGTTGCACGTCGGGTAAACTGAAATATGTACGTACGTCGCACAGCCTCGAAAAAAGCGTTGAGTTGTTATATTCATCGAGTGAAATAAAAACTACAGAGGCGAAAAAAAAGTCGTCCCTCATCGACAATTTGCGTGTGAAAACGCTTGGTTCAGTGGTGGTTAAACAAAAATAATCAGTGATACTGAATCACCAAAAAGTTGCATTGTTTTTGGGGTGGACAGGTAGTGGGGGCACTACAACTGGGTGAAATAAATACACATAGCCGGTGGAGGTGCTTTTCCACACCAGGGGACAAAAATACGAGGTGAGAAATTTCGAAATAACGCGTGTAACCGAGTGTTTGTGGAGATTGAATAATTCAGAGGGTATAAATTGTCCTGGGGGACGCCTAGCCATCAACCGAATCCATTTCCAAGTCACGGGTGTACCTCGCGACCACCATATTTCCTGGCATTTTTCATTTTATGTTTTTTCCATCACGTCTTCGTTTCTGGAAAGATTCAGACCCTTCCGAGAATGTTTTTTCCATCCTGGGGAGTGGATTCTTGATGTTGCTTCAAAGGCTATTCTCCATCGACGGTGTACACAATTTTCCCGCTATTTTCCGAGATTATCGTGGCACTTTAACCCCGGATCAGGGCGCACACGAGGGAGAATTTAATTTTTTATTCACTCTGGCAATGTTTTAGGTCTGGTTCTGATTGTTGGAGATGGCCACCAGTTACAGACGATTTTTAGGGTCAATGGAATTAGGTGAATAACGACTGGTATGTTTAATCGTCTAATTGAGAGACAAATTAATTGCTTCGGGCTAATGGCTTTTCGTTGTGTTGATCACATATTTCAGGAATACCAGATGTGACTAATGAGTGCTAGATACAGACTAAGGACAATAGCCCTGATAATACATTTATTTAACGTGTGCATCACCATCTGGTGATACGAGAGGACAAAATGTGTGATCAAACAGAAATTTGTTATCTGGAAGGAGACGTTGTCTGGGTGAAGATGGGCTTCTGTTGGTGGCCTGGACAGGTCACTGGCGTGGACAATCTCCCAGAAGAGCTCAAAGTGGAGTTCAACAAAAAGCCACCCATCGCTGCTGTCAAGTTTTTTCAGGAGAATGTTTACGAACTCGTGAAGAACATTCACCACATTTACAAATACAATTGCACACAGAAGGATGACTTCATACAGAAAGGCCTAGACAAATACCGTTCAAAATCCAAAAGTGGATCAAAATTAATGGACCAATTTCCCGGGGACATCGAGACCGCAGAGACCTTGACGGGTGGTGATCCTGACATCCTCAAATCTGACAAGTTCTGTCCCACTGAGAAACCCGACATATCTGCCCTTTTCGGTGAGAAAAAGTCCCCAAAGAAAAAGCAGAAATCTAAAGATGACGAGATGACACGTCGCAGCTACGATGACGAGCGCAGGTCAGTACGCCCTCGTTTATTCAAGGAGACCGATCACGAGGTACGAATTCGCTGTCAACCGAGCAGTCACCCAACGACGCCAACCTCGATGGACAAGAACATTTTTTCGTGTCCTCTCTGCAGCTTCACCTCAACCCGAGTGAACGTTCTCATTTGCCACAGCAAGATCCATCGAGATGGAGGTGCCGAGGCCTCACCTCGTCCAGTACAAATTTCCACCAAGAGGCGATCACTGGGGAATGACTCGACGAAGCGAAAATACGTGAGAAAAATCAAGAGCCTGCCCAGGTTGAAGAACGATCGGAGCTCTGAGCCGACGAAGAGGAAGCAGAAGCAAGCAGAAAAAGTCACAAAGAAGCAGAAAGCAGATCCTGAGATAAATGATCTCCTCGCTGACTGGGACGATGGCTCTGAGGACAACATGGACGTAGACCTCAACAAGTCCAGTGACACCCCCATTGGCAGTCCCTCGATGAAGGATTCTACGACAGCTGCAGACGATGACACTGATCTCCTCAAGGAGTCGGAGAAGCTGCTGAAGGAGACTGAGAGTCTGTCCACGCATCTGGAAAATTCCAAGACCATCGATTCCGTCTGTGAAACCCCAGAGGTGCTGAAAACCGACCCGAAAAAGACAGAGGAGACTGTGAGTGAATCTGAGAGCCTGTTAACACGTCCGAAGAACTCCAAGAGTAAATCTGTGAATGATTCTCTACGTGAGGAGCCCGGCCTCAGTCCCTCGCTCATCAAAGACAAGAAAAAGATAAAGAAGGCTGACCACGAGGACGAATCCAAGGAGTCCGAGAAGTCGGCGACGCGCGTGAAGTACTCCAAATCCAAGCCGTCAGACAACGAGTCCCTCCAGGAAGCTACGACTCCAGTGGTGAAGGAGAGGTCTGCCCTCTCCAAGAAGCTGAAGAAGAGCTTGGGGGACAGAAAAAACTCGACTCCAGAGAATGATCAAGATAAATCAAAATTCTCGTGCTTCGACTTCGAGGAGGAGGAGCCAGAACCGGCGTTCCCTCCAGTGAGAAAAATACCTAGAGTCTTCGGAGAGAAGAACACGTCCCTCAAGAAGGAGATCATCAAGGAATTCGTACTGAGTCAAGCGCTGGCGGAGGAGAAAGAAGCTGAGAGCAAGGCGAATGAGAAGGCACCTGAGGAAAATGTCAGTGAGGATTTGAAAAAATCGGAGGAGGACGAGAAATTATCCCAGGAAATTCTGAAAACTGTTGACGAAGCTAGTGAGTTGGTGGCTAAAATTGCGTCTGAGACTGAGAAATCGAACGAAGGGAAGTCTAAGCGAGATGTTACTGAGACAGAGTTGGAGATTGTTGAAATCCTGGAAGTCGAGCGTGAGAAAGACGGCGAAGAAATTCCTGAGGAACAAAAAAATATGGATACGAATGAGCCTGAGCTTGAGCGTCAGCCTGAAAAAATTGTGGACAACTACAGATCCCCAATGCACTCTCCAGGGAAGTCTCCAGGAAAATCTCCAGGGAAATCACCGGGTAAATCCCCACGAAAGTCACCATCGAAGTCCCCAATGAGATCCCCAAAGAAGCTGACCCCTTCCTCGAGCCCATCGAAATCAGAACCACTGCCAAAAGATTCCAAAGACCTCGAGGACGAAGTTAACTCGGGAAGAGTAACAATCGAGAGTGAAGAAGAAACCCTCACGATCTCTCAATTATCAAATGCAGGATCTGGGGATGGGGTCGAGCTGGGATGGAATCAATTGAGTGATATTATCGGAGGTGATAAATCCACAGATCAATCATCTGTCGACTCTCTCCAGGCCAAAGTATCAGAGAAACCCGCAAAGCGTCGGGGAAGGCCTCGAAAGTATCCCCTGCAGACCGACATCAGTGGAAATGGCGACTCCAACAAATTCGAGGAGCCACAGCTCCCTGGGACCCCTGACAGTCACGAGACGGATAGAAAAACATCAGAGTCCGATGGAGAAAGATCATACACTGGGAGGAGACGAAAGCCCAACAAAAGGTACCTGGAGTCTGACATTTATTCGTCCCCAGGTCGTAGGACCCCCAGGACTGACGATAGCCAGTCAGAGACTGAAGAGAAGGAGCACAAAGTGAAAGGGAGAAGGGGCAGAAAATCCTCAGCAATAAGCAAGACCTTTAGGAAATCCCTGGAGGAGTATGAATTTTCTGATCAAACCCTAGACAGTGCAGAGGAGTCTGGAGTCTCACCAAAACCACCCATTAAATCCTCGGAATTTACAAGCGCGAGACCTGACGGGATGAGTCCAGTAAATATCACTGATCTGTTGGCTACAAGTGACGTCGAGATCAAATCTCCGGGGTTCGGCAGTCTTGAGCCCGAAGTAAAATCATTTGAGACTAAAGTGACAACTGAGGTACCTGTGGCCCACGAGGAAGAGGAGGAGAAGAAAATTGAGATGCTTCCGCCAAAGAAGTCGCAGATAAAAAAATTCGAGATGTCTCAGATTGATTTAAATGAGTCAATCGAGACAAAATTCGCTGATCCTCCTGAGACAACAGAGACTTTAGTTGAGACTACTGAAGAAGAGGTGATACCTCAGGCAGTGAATGACCTTCAACAAGAAATTGTTTCAGAAATTATAACAACCGTTGTTCATATGGAATCAGAAACTACTGCTGGCACTGAGAATATTGTTGAGGAGACTATTGAGAATATAATAATTGAGGAAGTGATTGAGACGAAGGAAACTGTCGAAGCTCCTCGTCAGGAAGAAGAGCAAGGGCCTGTGGAAGCAAATCCCTCAGTGTCTGAAGCTACTACCGCAGCTGCTGAAATTCCAGAAGTCCCCGAAACTCTCGAAATTCAGCCAACTCCGAGCGCCGAGGAAAAAATCATCCCAGAAGACGTTGAGACGGTGGTCCAAGCTCCTGAGGATGTCCCAAATGACACAAACATCCCTCTCCCTGAGGAATCTGTCGCCTCCCCAGCTGTAGAGGCCTTCAACTGCAGTCCTGGCCGTGAAAAATCTCCTCCGAAAGAGTCACCGGTTCCTGCGGACGTCTCAGTCCCGGTGAAAAAGCGAGAGAAACCTCGAATAATCGAGAACGTGACCCTTAGAGAGCCCATGCAGATTCTAAAATCAAAACTCCTGGAAAAACAGCCTGTAAAAGGTGCCAAGCACAAGTTAGAACCTGACAACACCTGCAAAACTGAAGCTGGTGGTAGCCCCCGAACAAAAATGATCAAACTCGACTCAAATAAAGCCAACTCCTCCCCGAAGAGTCAGGCGTTGTCAATAACTAAGAAACTGCAGGTGCTGAAGGCAGATGAGGCCCTGGAGCTTCAACAGGAGAAGTTAACTCTCCCGAACACGATCAGTATCGCTTCGAGTGGTGGATCAGAAGCGTCGGAAGTAGAATTCGATATAAATTCAATTCCTTTCGTGATGAGTGAAGATCTCACCCCTGAGAACGTCGAGCAGATGCCAGTGATGATGTCATCGATAATCTCACCATCCTCGAGTGCTATTACGACAGCTCTCACCCTCCCTGTCCCCACGACTCAACATATCAATCAAACGAGTATCCCCGAGAAGGCTCCAGCGAAGAAAAAAACAGCATCTCCAACGATACTCAAGGCCAAATCGAAAGCTAAACCAACGATAACGAGCATTAAAACCATTGTACCCCCGATGATAGCAGGAATGAAGGGGATCAAGATTCAGGGCCAGCAGACGACGAAGACGATGCCAGTGTTGTCGTCGCCGAAGGGCTCTCCGGGGAAGTACGTGTTCGTACAGACGGGACAACCAATGCGTTACACCGTCCAGGGGACAACCGTTCCCCAGAAGATGCCGATATCCTCAAAAACCACTCCTGGAAATCCGCAGATTGTCCAGCAGGGTGGCAAAGTCGTGATCCTAACGTCTCCTCAGTCGGGACATACTAAAGTGGGAGTTCAAAAAACGATAACGACTGGAAAGGTTCAGAAAATTGTAACGAACAAAGGCCAACTGCTGGGACAGGTCGGTTTCAAGACGACAATGATAGCTCCCAAGAGTGATACGAGCTCACCCACAACATCTAAGATTACAACAAGTAGTCAGAAAATTGTTAACACTGGAGTATTGACGACTAAAGGGGTTTTCACACCGATATCAGGGGGCAAGACAATCCTGGGTACGATTCCCCAGCATTTTGTTAACAAAGCAGGAGTGATCACTCAAATTAATGCCGCTCAGCTGACTGGAAAGGCAGTCATGGGGCAGAAAACATATGTGGCGAACAAGGGGACATTCTATCCAATTTCAGCGCAGGGGGGAGCCAAGACCCTCCTGACACCAATTTCTCAGACCACCCTGGCTGGAAAAACCATCATAACAAGTGCTGGTTTGGTTCCTGGCAAAGGAGCAGTGCTGACACCCTTCACTGGACAGCAGGTGAAGGCAATGGCTGCCAAAGGCAGTCCCACTAAGGCCAAGGTGCAATATCAAACGGTTGCCCAGAAGATGCAGCTACCCGTGCTCCATAAGAAAATGACAATGGCCTCAACAGTCCAGAGAGTGACTACAGTAAAGTCCCCAGGTGGTGCAATTATGCTACAGAATCCGCCACCCCTGCATCAAACTTCTCAGACTCCTGGAAAAATGACTCCCAAGAAAATTATAAGACACAATGTCATGTCCCCGTTATCTTCACAGGCAGGTAAATCACAGTCTCCCCAGGGTACGTTGCAGAAATCAAAGTCCATGGCTGCAACACCGCAAAAGGGTAGACAAGCTAAACAGAAGATTGTTATTCAAAAAGTCTCCCAGGACAGTCCATCGAAGACAACAGCGACAATAATAAAAACTCCTGGACAAAAGGCAGCTCCTAGTGGCATACCAGGATCGAATAGAGTCGTTCGAGGGCAACCAGCAGTGAAAAATATTCAGAAACAACTCTCAAATGTAGTTTCACCTACATCTCCGGTGATTCCAGCACCAGCAGTTGTAGCATCTCCAGTGGAGGAGCAAATGCCGGTGCCAGAGGCATGTGCGATCGAATCAAAGCCAGTGGACGCCTCGACATCGACGACTCCAGCCGAACCGAAGCCAGAGGAACCCAAGATTCCCTCCCAGCCCCAGATAATGGCACTCCCCACTGACAGTGCGGATGGTAGTCAGACGTATGTCCTAGTGACAATTGATGAGCAGGGAGGAATTCATCCCCTGGACAACAACGCACTCATGTCGCTGGAGGGTACGACTCCAAATGCCGATGGCTCGAGGACTTTATACATTGATCCTAGCTCACTGGATCCTTCTGGAGCCATCGACAACATCGTCCTGCAGTTTGACAACACTGCAGTCTCAACTTTGCCACAGACTAATGCACCTGAGGTCTCTCAAACCGTCTCCGAAGGATTCCAAACATCAAATCAGGATATTCTGGCCGCAGCCCTGGCTAATACTGACTTCCAACAGGAGATTGGACTCCCTGAGACCACTGTACCCACTGTCATGACAGCTGGATTAACGCAAACGAGTCTCGATACTCAGACAATTCTCCAGAGTACACTGATTCCCTCAACAGAGCCCATTTCATCGCCATCCGTCCTGGAGACGTCTCTGACACTTAACCAACCTATCATGACACCTCTTGAGGTACCAAGCAGCGTTGGGATTCAGTCGGATGTGACTGACGCAGCCCCTGTCTCCAGTATGGCATCCCTGGAAATTCCAATCTCCATCGCGAATTCAAACATCTCGTACATGCCTGCTCCTGAGGGTATCCTCCCTGGAAACTCAATGCCAGACATTGGCGAGCTGATGGAGACCTCAGAGCCTGCTGATGCTCAGAATCAGGCATCCGGTCAATACCTGGTTATTCCGGACATACAGGAGGGAATTGAGAGACAGGGAGAGACTGAGACTCAAACCGCTACGATTTCCTACGCCGTTTCAATCCCAGAGAATGTCGCACTCGACTCGGGACACGTGCAGACCACTCCCTCCATGCCAATCATCGATGATTCCTTCGTTGATAATGTGGAATTTGGAGGAGAAAGCCAGAGCACAGCTGCTGATGAATTGATAAAGGAATCGCACGAGGGAAAATCAGAGGAAATGGAAACTCCACAGGTAGTTCGGGACATGCCAATCGTCCAGACTGACGAGATCGATCACACTCCTCTGCCGAAACCTCAGGAAGCCGAGGATAATTCCAGTAACATCACTAGCTGCGTGGAGGAGCCCTCAGCATCAGAACCAAAGCCACCAGAGGCTGATGTCCAATCGTCGAGCACTTTTGAAGCAGAGGCAGTAGAGATTCAGAAATCAGAGGAAAATCCATCTAAAATGGAAAATGAACCCGAGCCAATGGAAACTGAGACTGTTGAGAGTGCTCCAGAAATTCAGGTGAGCCCTCCAGTGACACAGTCGACCCAGCCCGAACCCATGGACGTCGATTTCGAGAGCACAGAGCCTGGGGCGAGTCAGGACACCATTGATGCAGTTGACGAGGCACCTTCTCAGTCTTTCGAGAATTTTGAGAATCTATCGATCAATGATGAGGTGATATCTCAGTCTACGTCAAAGTCTGAGGGAATTGAGGCCACACAGTCGAGCCCCTATGAGTCCCTGGAGAGAACAGTGGCTGGAGAACCTCCAACTCAGTCATTTGAAGACGCTAGAGTGGAATCAGGGGCGTCTGTATCTCAATCCTCGTACGAGGGATCAAGTGAGAATACAAATACACCCACCCAATCTTTCAACGAGGTGAGAGCCGCTGACGAGGCTGGAGACGATCCCAGCTTCCCAACGCAGAGCTACGAAGTGGTAAATGCTGACAATTTGGTCGAGTCCCTGGAGACCGATGGGGAGATCAGTCAAGAGGGCAACATTCCTTCGCAGTCGAATGACGTTGGTAACGAGGGAATTGGAACCTCAGGATTTTCCAATAATTCTGGACTGAATGAGGATGAGACTGCGAGCTCTTCGTACGTTCCTGAGACACCCGAGACTCAGGAGAGGGATCAGGATCAAGAGAGTGCCATCAGCACGTCGAGCTATGAAATTCCACCCTGTGAGGAAATCAATATCGCGACATCGAGTGTTATTCCTGATACCTCGGATACTGCGAGTCTTCATGATAATGGAGTTCCTGAAATTCCCACCTCCTCGTACAATCTCAATCCTGACAGCAGCTCGACCCATGTCGACGCTGTACCAACGTCCAGTTTCGAGGATCAGGTGGTCGTCGAACAGAATGTGTCGACATCCTACGACGTGCCCATCTCTATGCCCAGGTTGGAGGGAGACTCGGCTCAGAATTTCGTTAGTGAGAGTTCGGACCAGAGGAATGAACCTAGTAGTTACTACACTCGTAATCCTGAGGAAGGAACATCGGAACCGAGTCAAAGCTATTTCATGCCAGAAGGTCCAAGTCCGAGTTACACGAGCCAAACCGTCTCCCCCAGCTGTTACGACGCACCACCTGAGACCGAGGCAAGTCAAAGTTACTACTCTACCCAAGAGGTGGACAGAACTGACCAGTCGAGAAACGTCGAGGCCTCCCAGAGTTTCTACCAGGATACAACCGACGAAGTGAGACTGCGATCCCAGGGTGAGGCCACCCCCACGTACACCGAGAGATATCCACTGGACTACACCCTCGATAATTCTCCAATCGAGAGGCACGATCTAGTGGAGAGTTCAGTGCCAGCTACAAAACCCACCGAGAGGTAATAATCAGCGGGACAAACTGTTTTGTAATTTCTCCCTTGATAAAAACAAAAATATATACACCAACGTATGTATATATATATATCCTTTTTTAAACGTGCTCCTGAAGTGGCTGAACTACCAAGTGTTGGTAGAAAAATTGAACGACTAGAGAAAAAAAAAACCTACGACTTAAGTGTAAATATTAAAGAGTGATGAAGGCAAAATAATTTGATGATGGCAGTGCTTGGGCATGGGGATAGATCCTTATAATTTATATTGACACGAGAAATATAATAGTCAACGATAAATTTATATTGACGGAGGGATAATGGAAATTTAATGACAGAACAGATTAACACGAGCACTTGACTATTTTTATCATGACTTTCGTTCGATTAAAAGCCAATTATCTTTGGGAGATTTTTTTTTTTTTAAATTGCGCAAGGACGAAGGATAATTGGTAGTATAATTGGTCAGGCACTCGTCACTTCAGTTACGTTTAGAATCATGATTGATAATTAGATATATGGGAAGTTCAGAATATGTTGTGACACTGACTATTGCAATATCTGATCGGTACTGAAGGATTTAAAATTGTGGGGAGGCATTATTTTGATGGTTCACGATAACTCTGAGAGATCGCATCAAAGCTTCGTTTAGGATTAATCACTATAGTGTTTAATTTGTTTAGAGGATAGAGATGAGAAAAATAAATGGAATATATGAAAGTTTATTTGAGGTGAAGTATCAGAGTTCCCACTATATGATTTTGAGATATTTTGATTTCTTCTTTTATTTCAGCGTATAATCTTTGATGTTAATTAATGTGGTAAATAATAAGGGTGGGGATTGTGGATTTTTTGAGTATGTGAGAGGCTTGAAAAGTTTGTCGAGTTGTCGGAAAAATTATGACATTTTTTAAATGCTATCAGGGGCTAATTAATCATCCGGAGGGTGTAAATAAACGACTGATAATGCAACTCGATGATAACGAGTCAATTTTTTTGATAAAAAATTCATTGATAAGGCGACAAAGAAGTTTGAGGACTTGACAGACTTCTCATGGCTCTGAAAACTAAAAACTAAACAAAAACACAAAAAAAAACACATGATAATTATAATTATTACCTTTATAGCCTCAACAAAATATGTTATATTCGAAAAAAAATAAACAAAAACTATGTTTTTATTTCTTTTCTTTCTCTCTGTGTGGGCGTTGTTAATCATGATCAGTCAGGTATGTAAATATTGTGTTAAATAAGGGTTTGAAAAGTGCAAAAGTAGTTGAACAACGAGATTAATGAGAGGAGAAAGAAAAATCTACCCTTGAAGATTGGAAAGAACCACAACGTGATTGTTATTCTTTAATTATTAATCAGAGGTCACGACTTTAGGATAGAGAGCGTGGCCAGAATAATGGGGGAATACTAATTAATATCACATTATGAATATTAAACATAATTTTCAATCACTAATAATTAACGATGAAGAATTTTTACAGTGTGCACCACAAATTGAAACGAAAAAAAAACAACAAATTAAATGTAACTAAGAAGTGAATATTGAAGATAAAAAAAAATAAATACACAAATATTTACGTAAATAGTAGCTTGTAAAATAATAGTCTGCCCTTCAGCACGAGAATTTCTTCTCAATTAAAAATTCAACAATTGGGATTTCTGGTGATACGAGGGGTGATTCACCATTGTTTTTATACGTATAAATAAACGAATGAATAAATGACTAATTAATAATTGTGGAGACGTGGAATAAATTCGAGTGTTTTCATATTAGGATTAAATATTTTAATATCGGAATAAAAAGTCCCAAAATATATTGCAGGCATTATTCATAAGTCCTATGGAACACAGTCTTGTTGATGAGTTATGCTGTAGGAAGGTGAGGTGAAATGAAATAAATTCAATCCTCAATATTCCCTGATTGATTGTCAACCCGAGGATATCAACGATTGAAGATATTCCGTTTTACCTCCCTCCCTTAATTATAGTAGACAAAAGAGGTCTTTTGATTTTTCTCATTATTTTCTCGAATACAATCAAAAGTTCCAATTTGTCAGGGTCGATGACTATTTATTTCCTCCAATATTGTGCAAATTTGTGGAGTTGCTCAACGAGAACAGCCATGACAGCAGTTACCGAGAGATCCAGCAGATTATGAACATAATGGACAGCTTCTTCATCACTCAGATCCAGTCGCAATTTATCCTGGACCTTTTTCACCGCCTTATCTGGCTCCAGAGCGATGTCAGGGACACTTGCGTCGACCATGAGTGAGAACAAATTCAACATGAGATTTGCATTTCTCCGAAGATGGAGGAAGGCAGTATAGCATTGTTTTTTGAACTCGTGATAGTGCTCTGATCCGACACCCCCCATGGCCTCCACCATTTCCTTGCTGAGTTTCATGGGCGGAGGTAGAGGCTTGGGATCCCTCCCCAGGATGTACCCAAAGTCAATGTGAAATAATTTTCCAGACGTTGTCAGTAATAAATTATCGAGGTGTCGATCCCCCACCCCCAGGACGTACGTAATGATGCAATAACCCGCACAGCTGCGAACATAAGTGTCCATGACTTCAGGTGCCACTCCATAGGGTCCCGTTTCCGAAGGATGATGCTTTCTAAAAAAATTCAGGATGGAGCCCTCACTGGCCAGCACCTCTGCAACGGTCGTTGACTCGATAAACTGAACGAATCCATGTTTTGTACTAGTCGCCAGGACTCTGTAGGGAGTCAGTTTTAAATCTAAATTCTCTCTCCTAAGAAGTTTATCCATCAGAGCAATGGTCTGGAGGATCAACTGGTCCTGCCTCAAATCATCCCCATGTTTAAAAATGGCGATATATTCGGTATCATCAGTCGTCAGAAATGTCAATTTTGATGGCATGAGAGCAGATTTAAAGAGACTAGCCTTCTCAGGAATAATTCCCTTGATGGATATCTCCGGGTCCAGAGGAAAGGGAATGGGTTCGAAATTCGAGAAATTGAATTTAGAGGCAGGATCAGGCTCAGCAAGAAGTGCCTTCAGCCTGTCTGTCTTCTTCTTCCTATTGGCACTTTCTCGTGCTACATTTTTTACTAGAGCCACCAGCTGCTCAATAAAAGTCTTCTGTCTCTTCAGGAAGGCCCTCCTCTTCTGCCAGACGGCATTTCCCTGTGCCAATGCTGTTGAGAACATCTTCATGACCGTGAGATACATCTCTCTGACCTTAGTGTCCTGTTTAACAGTGATTGCAGGATCTGGCTGTCCCTCGCACTCGATGGAGAGATACCAGTAAAAATAATTAGCTAGTGTAGAATTTTTACACGCCCTAGTGATGAGAAAAGATGATAAATCCATGGGTGGCTCCTGACTGGAGATGTAAGCCTCTGATTCACTGGAGGTCGATATCCCCGAGGATGTGTATTCGACACTGACGTTCCTCCCCTCTCTGTCCCTCTCGGCATCCCGTGCGATCCTCTGACTGGCGAGTTTGATCCCCTCGAAGTTCTCATACTTGAGTGCTTGCACTAGCTGCAGCAGATACAGCATGAGATCGTCGTCGTGGGCCTGATTGAGCCTCCCAATGGCGTATCTCCTGATAGCTGGATGTGTGAACGCAGGGCCCAGCAGCTCGAGGGCATCTTCAGGGTCTGGAGGTGTCCACAACGCCAGCATCTCCAGGGCCTGCTTCTCCTCCCCTGGCATTTTCCAATTAACACACTTGACGAACTTCGTCAGGGCCTTCTTTTGATTCGAGAGGTGAAACCTGAACTTCCAGATGAGATCCTGCTCCTCAGTGGAGAGAGCTGTCGTTGGTGGATACCCAACAATGGTATTTAAGGCGTCTCGAACTGTTGAAGTCGGCTTGACATCCCTGGTGTTGCCTCCAGAGCGAAGACTGCGAGCTAATTTATGGTGTTTTGCCTCGACGAGATTCTCCTGGAGGATTTCGTAGTCTGGGAGCGTGACAACGTCTGGCTGGGACCTGTGCTGGACAACTTCGTCCCCATCCTTCTCGTAGTAGACTATTGAGTACGGTTGACCGTCCATCGTTACCTCTGGGAACTCGACGGTGAGATAGAGGTACTCCGAGGCTCTTTTCTCTCGCTCACTTATCAATTCGATCTCCCTAAAGGTCAGCCTGTCCAGCCAGTCGACTCTGCTTATCTGACCATTTTTCCTTTTCTTGGCTAGCTTGGCAAGCCTCTGCATTTGCTCTTTTCCAGAATCCCTGGCCTTCCCTGGGGTCGAGGTGGGCACGTTTCCATCAGCCTCGACTCCAGGCCACACCCTGAGATCCAGCATTCCCTGGCGGAATACACCGTACTTCCCGAAGAGGGAGATTGTCGTGCCACCGACAGGTACCTGACGACCAGGACCTGCACAGTCGTAAATCGTTATTGTCAACTGGGCGTCTCGAGGCAGGTCTGAGTACGAGATTGGGAGTGTCACCCACTGGTTCCAGCTGGAAAAATAATTTTCATTTGATAAACAAAAAATAAAGGAAGTGAATGGAGAGATATTTCAGAATCCAAGACCTGGACTTACTTCCATCTCGTTGGAAAATGCTTATAGGAAGTGTGGACAGGTAAAGCAAGGGCTCTACCTCCTCCCCAGACCTGGAGGGATGCTGAGAGGTCCCCCTTGCTGCCTCCTCCACCGTATAAACCTGAATATTTTATCATTGGATCCAGCAGGAGTTTATCATACTCTGGTCTCTGTCGTTTGCCCTCTAGAGTCCCACTGAGATATCGAAAGGAGAACAGAGTGTAATTTCAGACTGGGGATTATGTGACAGTTGTAAATATTTTTGCACTTTTTTTATTGTACCTAATCTCCGGGGGATTATGACCACCTTTTAATAAGACGGTTTCAGAGTCGAGTTCTGACGTCTAGGTTTAGATTATTCTATTATAAATTGAGAGTATGTCAATACTATACTGGTTATTTCAATATTCATGAAGGAATTCGTAATGACGTGATCATAAAGAGAGAATATTTAATTGAGGAGAGCTCCAATGGTGGATAACAACGAATAAAAGTTCCTTTCATTGTTCAATGGAATTTATTAAGGAATTTTGTATTATTTATTTTTATGATTAGAGTGACATGTGTTGTACCCACATTTTTATCTGGATTTTCACATCCAAAGATGAACTGTAGACGTAAAAAAATTTATCACTGATTTTCTCCATTGTTTCGAGCAACAATCATGAATCAATTGTGAGATGTCCTTTGTTTATTACTTTTAGTGTTGAGAGTAAGAGTAATTTTAGGTAGCTGTCAAGTGGACGACAACCTGCAACTAGATGAACAACCACGGGGTCCAGGAAAAGAGGATTGACTGAAGTAGAGGCTCAGTTCTGGCAGGGAGGGCGCCACACGCAATGC